GAAGCCCAGCAGGCTGGCAGGCGGGGAGCCACGCACACAGAGCCAGTAGAAGCTTAGAATAAAAGGGCCATTGTCTAGATACAACAGAGCAACCCCTTCCTTAAGACAAGGGACACCCACAAGGCTACAAGGCCACAAGGCTACCACTGCCGAGGACAGGGTGTTGACTGGTCATGGGCATAGGGCAGCACAAAGCCCAGGGCAAAATTGCATGTGGGATACTGAACAAAATTCTGCCTTTCACTAAAGTTCAGCCCAGTTCTCTGAGCTCCAGGCTCAATTAGTTCTGATGGCTTTGGTCTCTACCTTGAGGATCTCACCAAGTTAATGAGAATCTTGCTAGTCAGTTTATTTCAGCATTTAACTAAAGTCCTCATCTACCCTCCTCACCAGGCACTATCTGCTCGCCTGGCCTGCCTTCAGCAAGAGTCCTGTTAGGTCTGTTCAACAAAATAATTTCCCATGCACTTAGAAATTCTCCACAATCCCAGACAGCACATGGTGCCTTGGTACTAAGATCCCACATTTTTCTCTGTGGTATCTGGAATGACGCCCAACCTCTTTCCCTACATACGAAGCCCATTGCAAGAGTCCTGAACAGGCTGTCTTGACCTTTTTCAATGTGCCAGAACAGCTTTTCTTTATCCACACAGAGCTCCCCAAAGCTCCCTAGACTTATCGCTTTCACCCTGTACCAGTGTCACCCACACAGGCTGGCCTCCCTCCAGCCTCTAGGATCAATCCTAGAGGCCCCTAGGAGGCCTCTAGGAGTAAGGCTGAACCGGACCCCTAACCCCAGGCTTTGGAGACCAGAGGTCAGGAGGAAGAGGTTGTGGTCTTTCAGTAGGCAACCACTGCCTCTCCGCAAGCAGTGGGGCCATCCCTCATTAGGGACAGACACCCTCCAGCAGCTCAGAGCCCATTGTGGCCTGAATCACTCACTGCAGCAGATTTGTGGGGTTCTCCTTCCTCTCCCCATGCTAAAGCCAGGGCAGCTATTCTTATCTTCTGATGCTTTAAACTCCAGATTCAGCTCTCAACTGTGTGTCTTTGCGCTTGCTACTGGCCTCATCTGTCCCCACTCACTACTATTCAGAGCATTCATTCCCCTCCAGCTGCTGCGAGGTTGTCCTGGGTGTCAGAGTTGTGAATTCCTTCAAGCTGCTTCCTCAATACTCTCCAGGCCTTGCAGCACATAAGAGCAGAGCCCAGGGAAAACCCAGGAGAGCACCAGCCTGGTCCTGGGCCTCCCCAGGTCCTCTGAATGCAGGACAGGCAGCCAAAGCTCTGCCACCTACACGGAGAGCTCACCTCCTACCAGGAGGCTGTCAGCTGCTTTAAAGAAAAGTGCTACAGCTATCAGCCACCCAGTGTGGGCCTACAGAGCCCAAGGAGGGGGAAGCCTGTCTCTCTAGCTGTCTAGCCATGGTTGCCTTTTCCTTGGCCACACAAAGGAGCCAGAACAGAGCCAAGAGGCGAACATTTGAGCTCCAACCTGCCCAAGCCCACTGAAGCTCTTATTACCAGGCCAGCTGCCTCCTAGAGAAAACCACAGCCCCACCCAGCCCCACCCCACCAAACCCAAGTGTGGAGGAAGTGGGGTTCCCAGAAGCAGCTGCAACAAGCACTTTGCTGACAGCACCTGACAGATGGCCTAACTCGGGCCCTTGAATCCTGCTTCTCAAACCTGAACTATATTTTCCCACTACAGCAACCCTGAGACAGGAAGGGTAGACTTGATGCCTCTCATTTTACAGATGAAAAAATGTGACCCTTTGGGCTAGGTCACTCAGATGGAAAACAGAGCAAGTGGTGCCACGCATCTACCTGTGGTCTCACTTATGTGAGAGGCAGAGGACTGCCCCAAGGAAAGACAAGTTCAAACAACAATGCTGGAATTCGCCTAGGTGATAGTCTCCACAGCTCCTGGGAAGCCAATGATGGGCCAAGAGTGGGAACTGCTGGAGACCACCATCACTCTCCCTCCATTCACAGGTGAGAACCAGGGAGCTTGGGGAGCAGGAAATACTGCATGCCAAAGGACAGAGCTAATTATGCTGCCAAAGAACCTGCCAAAGAACCCTGACCTCTACCATTGTCTCCTGGCCCTGCTGGACATCAGCATACTCAGCAGCTGATAGATACTCAAAAGCCAGACTCACAGGTGGCTGTAGGGATAGGACAGCATCCTACAAGACAGCCCAGGAGAAAGAGCCTGCTTGCTTCCCCATGGGCACTAACATTTCTCTTTATGGCCACAAGGACCCAGCAATAATAAAGAGGTCAGCAATCCTGTTCTCGGTATCTGGCTCCAGGCTTGGGGCTGAACATGTGCTAAATGAGAAGTCCTTATGTAGCACTCATCACTAGTTACTGGGGCTTTCAAATGAATGAATGAATCGTAAAACAAAACCCAGACTACAAGCCCAGGACCAGAGGACAGAGGAACAAGCTGCTACTGCAAACCACTTTTCCTACTCTCAAATGCATTCCTCTTACCACACCTCTGCCTTCCCACTGCGCCACCTCAAGGCTCTCTAACCTTGCAATTCTCTGATTAGTGCTTAGTGTTCCTGGCAATAGGGAAACCCACAATGACACCAGGACCCCGAACTTGGGAAGAAGCCACAGAGGGACACAGGGCAGCAGGTGATTCACTAAATGCTTCTGGTGCTCTTCCCTCCCACCTCATAGATAAGTGTAGCCATATGATTTGTTTCACCCAATGAAATGCTACTTCCAGGTAGAAGCTATAAGCCAGGTAAAACTCATCCTGCTCTCTGTCCCTCAGTCTAGTAACCAGGAATGTTTCAGTGAGTCAGTGTGGGTTCTACAATAGGGACAACATAAAGCAGACACATAACAGGATATATGCAGCAAAACAGAAATAAACCTTTGCTGCTTTAAGCCTCTGAACCGATGTTCAAATCCAGACAAAGGCAGTGTCCTCTGATCCCTCCTCCCATGATCTGTCTTAGATGACAGGAGCTATGTCAGCAGGCCAAGAGAAGGGGGTCAGGGGCACAACCTCCAGAAGCAGAGCTGACAGGGACCTGTGCTTCAAGGCCTCACTCACAGGGCTGCTGTGGGCCAGGCTGTTCAGCCTATTAATCAATTTTAATCACCTCCAGAGGAAAGCATCCTCTAAATTAGAAATGAGGAAATTCACCTCATAGTGAGACCTCAAGCAAGTCACTCTGTGACCTTTCTGGGCCCTGAGTTTCCTCATCTGTAAAATGGGGTGATTACCATCTACCACACTGTGTTGTTTCACATATCAAACAAGCTAAACACAAGTAGAGCTAGGATAGGGCTTGTTGCCTCCGTAAACACTAAGCCTTAGCAAACTCACCATTACTATGCTAGTCAGCGTTCTACATGATTGATGTAAGCTTGACCCTACCTCCACTGGATCCCTGGGCCTGGAACAATGGTGCTTCACAGGCACTGGCAAAAACGAAGTTGAGCAGGGTCAGCCCCTGAGCCCACTGCGGCCTAGTGTGAGGCCTCAGGAACCATTCCGATTAAACCCAGCACTCCTGTGCACACAGACCTCCTAGGGAGGGCAGGCCACACAAGGTCTGAGCTTGCCCTCCTGTTTCCACACTCCAAGGGCGGAGCCCTCACTTGTCCAAGAGACCAGCACCGCTGCCCTGCCAGGAAGCAGGGATCTTACACCTTCCTTAGCCTTCTTCCTGCCAGCAGCTACAAGCCTGCAGGAGTACTGTGTGCTGCTTCTAAGCTGGGATCAAGCTCAGCTGAGGAAATGCTACAGGTCCAGCTGGGTCCTAAGAGCAGGCAGAGTTTATGGCTGCTCAGCGAGTCCTGAGGCAGTACTCACGAGCCATTGACTCTCAATCCTGCTGCGTGACATGAACCGAAGGCCACATTAGGTGGCACAAGCACTTAGGCACAAAAGTGTAGGGCCCTTTACACAAGTCTCCAGCCAGGGCGGCGTGCAGAGAAGCGTGGCAGGGAGGAAGGAGAAAGTCGTCTAGTGGCCTGGTTTCCAAAGGCCGGATCCCCAAACATCAGAAATCCCCAAAATGTCACACAACGCTTGACGACAACTGAAGGAGAGGCCAAAGTGCGCGTTGGACTGGAGGGGTCTGGGCTTCATTTTGAGGCTGCCAGGGCTCAGGAGTTTAACTCTGCCCACCACTGGATTGCAGAATGTGGGGCCCCGCGCTCCTTTCACAACCGGTAAAGATGGCCCAAGCGCCCAGCGAGCACCAACTTCTCGTGCTCTGGGGAGCGGAGCACAGGCTCCCTACCAGGGCTTGGTAGCTGAGCACTCACACTCAAAAAGCGCCTGGAGAGGGCGCAGTGCCGGGGCTCCAATTTGACCGCTACTGCCTGGGGTCCAACCTACAACACCGAGACCCTTCCCGAAGAAACCGGATTCAGGGCCGTGACGCGCTCCTGCCGTCCGGGCGTCCAAGTCGAGCACACACACACACACTGCACCTACCCCTCTCAGGGACTGGGCTGAAAGGGGCAATAAGAGCAGACCCAACTCCAAGACCACAAACCCTATGTCACTAAAGCTCGGGCAGGTAAGGGATCACAGGCGGGGGGTCGCCCCTCCTCGACCTCGTGCTACGGTAGAGTAGCACTAACCCGAACTACGGTAGAGTGGGGTGCACACCCGCGGGTGCAGCTAGGGTCCTCCCTGACCAACGCCCATCCTCGCCCTTCTCAGGCTCTGAAGTGATCCATTGCGAGCCGGAGGGGGCCCGGGGCAGGGCCAGCGCGGGGTGTAGCCCCCGGGCGGCGCGGACGACGACTCAGGAGCGGAGTCCGCGCCGCGGCCTCCATCCTGGCGGGCGATCCGGGAGGACAAAGCCAGCGCCGCCGCGGGGCCGCCCTGACTCGGTCAGGAGGGAGTCCGGGGGCTAAGCGGGAGCTCGCATCGCGGCGCTCGTCCCGGAGGACGCCCGGGAGCGCCGACCTCAGACAATGAGGGGGAGGCCGCGCTCGGCGGGGAGCGCGCTACTCACCGGGCGCGACGGCGGCGGGGCGGCGGGGCGGCGGGGCGGCGGGGCGGCGGAGCGACGGGGCGGCCGGGGCGGCCGAGGAAGTTACGGCAAGTTCGGCAGCGCGGGGCGGGAGGGCTCGACTCGGGCCGTCCGGGGGCGGGGCGGGGCGGGGCGCGCAGGGGCGGGGCCGAGGGCGCGACGCCAGCTGCGGCGGAGGAGCGTGCACCCTTCCCTGCGCTGCCGCGCGGCCGCGCCTACCCCGCCTGGCCCCGCCCCTCCGCTCGCCCCGCCCCACTCTCTGCTCGCGTCCCCCACCTGGCCCCGCCCCACACTCATTACACCAGCCCGCCCACCTGGCCCCGCTCGCTTGGCCCCGCCCCCACGCTTGTCCCGCCTCGCGCTCCCATCCCGCCCCCAAGGCTCGCCCCACCCCGCCCATGCTGCACCGGGCCACGCGTGGCGTACAGGGTGTGTTGCGCGGGCGCAAAGGCTGGGCCGCCAGTCGCCGCTTTGTGTAGCTTTGGGCGGAGCCTGACGCGCGGATTGAGCCTATTATGCACGCCCCTTCCCCGGGGTGGGCAGAGCGGAGGCAGGGCTGAGCGCAGCCGAGCTGAGAGGCGCCGAGCCGTGCGGATGGGCGGAGCGCGCCCGTGGATGGTGCCCGGGAGACAGCGTGGCGCTGCGGCGGTGGAACGGGTCTTGCGGACGGTCCTTGGAGGAAGGGGATGCTTTCACCCCTTCGCCAGCTCGATGCGCGGCCTCGACCCCCACCTGCCTGCCTGCGGGGAGCCCTCTGCGCCCAGCCTGGCCCGCTTTCCGGTCGGCGGCCTGCGAGCCGCCTGCCACTTCAGGCTAGTTGTAAACCCTTGCAAGGCGGCTGTCAGCCCTTTCCTGGTTCATTTTTTTCCCCGAGGGACACGGCCTTCTCCCTCCAGTCCCAGGTAGCTCAAGGCCCTGCTTCTCTGGGCGCATTCAAGTTGGGCAGCGGTCTCCAAAGATGCCGGGTCCATGTAGTTTGTATTTTTGGAAAAGGCAAATAAATAATTGAAAGTTGAGTTGACACAAAGCTGACACAATTGGAATAGGAAATAAGAGGTGCTCTAGATGGAGCAGTCCAAGGTCCTTGAGGAGGAGATGTTGAAATTGGAAAGAATGAAGCACGTTGGGGAACAGTTTGAGACAGTTCCCCTAGAGAGCCCAGTGCCCATTCCAGGGAAGCTTTATGTCCAGCACAGCACCAAAGGAAAAGACGCAGCAGGCCTGAGAAGGAGGCGGGAAGCAGGGAGATGGAGTGCGTGAGGACAGGGGGCAGTGGCGTTAACCTCTGTGAGAGAATACATTTAGTGGCATCCAGCCCAAATGACAGCAGGGAGCCAACTAAACCTTTGCCTAAGCCCAGGCTGCTGGTGATTGGGGTTTAAAGTGGCTGTGCTGAGTGGTTGAGAGAGGAAGTTTGGATTTCACAGGACACAAGGATGCTATAGTAGGGACATGGGACGAGAACATAGTGAAACCCAGGTGACTTCAAGGTTACTGGGGAAGATGAGGTGGCCCAGAGAAAAGCGACCATCTCAGGGAGGAACAGGAAGAATTCATGCTGGGCGCATGGAGTTTGAGATGCCTGTTAGCCACTTAACAGGACTGCTAGATGGCCGTTCGTTATAAAATCCTTTCATTATAAAACTCAACTTTGGGGCTGGGGATTTAGCTCAATGGCATAAGCGCCTGCCTTGCAAGTGTGCAGTTGTGAGTTCGATCCCTGGTACCGATAAAAGTGAAAAAGACAAAAATAAATAAAAAATAAATAAATAAATAAAACTCAACTTTACCTGGTGGTGTGGCTTCCCAGAATGAAGGCAGCTTTCTTAGCCTTTCCTGCAGCTACATGTGGTCATGTGACTCCATTCCGGCCAACAAGAAGTGGAGGGGTCCCTTGCAAATTCTAAGTCAGCCTTAAAGGCAAACAAAGTGCTTTCCTGGGCCTTGCTCTTTCTCCTCACCAGGACATAATGGATGCAGGGCTGGAGCTCATGCAGCCATGTAGGCTCAGTAGTGGAAGCCATGTGTTAAAGGTTTTAGTGGAACAAGTTAGAGTAAGTTGTGGGTCCCTAATATTTACATTACCAAAATCTGATCTGCCTACCTCTTGACTTTGTATATGAAAGAAATAAACTTTTGCTATGTTTAATTTTCTGTTTCCTGGTGCTTGTAATCATATCTAATTTTACCTTGTCAGACTACACAGGGATTTTACTAAAATATGAGAGACTGGAACAGATTTGCCCAGTGATAGGAATGATCCAGGAGGAGGGAAGAGCCCGAATTCTGATGAACAGGTGGCAGAAGGCACATGGGCACTCGTGGGGATGGAGTGCAGTCCTTGTTACCAAGAAAAGGGTCAGGGAGAAAAGATGATTATTCATACCCAATCTTTTCTGTCTAATCCTGGTGTGAACAAAGGACTGAGTGTTGAACAAGGAGGAAGGAGGGTGCAGCGAACTCTTCAAGTCCCCTCAGGGACACACTTCCTTTCTGCACCAACTGGCTACATTTCCCCATCCTAGGCCCTGCTGGCCTCACTGGACTGGCACATCTTCCCTGCCCCTGCCCCTGTAACTGTCCTGTGAGACTCACCAAGCTTTACCATTCCTACAGCAACTTGGGGTGGCTTCTGAGAACATCAGGAATACTCTTTGGAGAACAGTCCTGTTTTATTTTCCTTTATTAAGCAATGAAAAGAATTATGACAGCACAGCCCCAACTCATGCAGTGTGTATATTGTAATCTGTGATTTACTTTGCAGGCTGTCCCTTAGGCCTGAAATTGCAAAGAATGTGGCTGAATTATAGAGCAGACTGCAAGCTAAAGCCAGGAGTGCAGGAGCAAGAAATAATACACAAGGGAGGGAAACAAGCCAGGAATTGCTTTTGTTTTGTATTTTTCTTTCACACAGACCCAAAGTAGCTAGGAACAAAGTTTTGGATTGAAAGCCTTTGGTCTCTGATAACTGCTCCTGCCTATCATGGCCCTCATTCCAGTCCCTGTGTGTGTATAAGTTGTAAGGAGCTCTGCTGGATGTAGCTCAGTGCAAAGACCTGAGTTTAGTCTCCAGTTCTAAAACAACACACACACACACACACACACACCCTGGTAAAACTGTAAAGAAATCATTACTTCTCTTTTTTTTAATCAGTACCAGGGATCGAACTCACAACTACATGCTTGCAAAGCAGGCGCTTATGCTGCTGAGCTAAATCCCCAGCCCCAGAAATCATTACTTCTGTCACCTAGGAATACTGTCTTGTTAGGGCTCAACCACCAAGGCTCTTTACAGTAACTGGGACATCTTGGTTGGAAACAGAACCTTATCTGAACAAGCATAGGCAAATGAAGGAGGGTCAAGATTACCAGAAAGATATTCAAGTCACTCAAAATCGAAAGAAGAACCTGGAATAAGAGACACTCACAAAACTTGGAGTTGTTTCTGGGGGATTTCCAAACCAGAAGCCTCTGTCTGTCCTAGTGCTCTGAGTCCACCATGGTGTGTCAATAACTCTGCCCCCTAGAAAGATTCACATTGGTCTACCTAGGTTTCCATGCCCACTGCTGGACCAGTCACTGTGGTGCTGTGGGCTGCCAGAACTGAGCCAGGCTAGAGCAACATGGCCACACCAGATGAAGTAACAATGTGCAGAATCAGGATCAAGATCCTTGGTTGAGATGGCACAGCAAGTATTTCTTAGATCCCATGCAGCCACTGAAAAGTATTGGGTAGGGTAATGACTATCTTGTTTGTACTTCTGGAAGACCCCAAAGGCTGCAGTAGGAAGACTGGGTTGAAAGGTGAACAATTAAGGAAAAATGAACCTGAAGGAAACCTTCAATGGTGTATGAAGAAGGTGAAGAAATGGGGAACGGTGGACAGATTCAGGGTACATGTAGGAAGTACAGCCAATGGTAACTAAATGCATGAAGAAATGTGGAACACAGGATCCTTACATTCTGGCTGTATAGACAATGGTTCTATTCACTGGCACATGAGTGTACATGTTCACCAACAAGTGATGACTTTGACCTCTTGTATATGGAATGCTCAAACAGAAGCCAGGGTCCAATTTGGTATGTGAAGTGCAGGAGAGACATCTAAACAGAAGCTATAAATTTAGGAGCTTTTTATTTATTTATTTGTCTTTTGGTTTTATCTTTTTGAGACAGTGTCTTGCTATGCAGATCAGGCTGACCTTGAACTCACTTTCTGTGGGAGACCACTCCAGTGACACCTTTTGAATCCAAAACAATTACTGTGGTTTTGATTACTTGGAGACTCATTTCCTTATATGGATATGTAAAAGGCTGACTAGAGTATTTCCTTGTCTCTTCAATTCGCTCTGAACTTTGCAAATAAGGCTAACTGAGGTGCTAATATGCAAAATCTGTAGCCATCAGACAGTCCTGTTTCTTTGCATAGTGTTCTTCACAGGAATGTCAACTGGGTACAGCCTCAAGATAAGAAGCTATGACTCCCCAGGGCACAAGAGTTTGCATATCAGAAACGAAAGAGATAGCCCTCCAAAACAATTCCACTGCTACCTTAATTGGATTATCTTTATCTCTGTAAATTACAGAGATGCCATTCTTGCACCTGGCCAGCCAGTTCCAGTTACTTGGTAATTCCAGACATCCTCACTGTCACTCATCCCTGAGCCACCCACCTTTCTTCACAAGATAGTAAATGCTGGGAGAGGCCTAGGATCAAGGACTTGGTCTGCATGTCCTCACGTCCTCATGGGGACTGAATTTAGGACCCTTGGCTGCCCTTAACTTGGAATATGTCTTGGTGTTTTTACTCTCACTGTGGGTAGCATTGGTGGTGGTAGATTGGAATTAACTTGCTAGGATTCCAATAGCATCTCAATGAGATTACAAATATAATTTTCTGGATTGTGAGGAAAACTAGAAAGAGGATTACAATATTTGGATAACTGAACTTGATAGTTGGGTTTACAATAACTTTCTAGCCCAGGGTTACATCAATCTCAAAGTGATCCTCTTGCCTCAGATTCCACAGTGCTGTGATTATGGAAGTATGATACCATGCCTGGCCAATTTTAATCCACTAAGAATTGTGTACAACAATTTGCCTTAACCAAATGGGTTTTGTTGCTTTTGGCACTGTTGAACATGCTTTGGAGCGATATAATGAGATGTCTGAAGGTAACCAAAAAACATTGCTCAGAGCTCCCCTGTCAGTCATTTGGCACACTTTGCTGGGCAGATTTCATCCTCAGAGTGAGCCAATGGTCACACAATAGCTTCTCCAGCACCAGCTTCTTACCTGCATTTCACACAGGAAAAATAAAAAGCATTAAGGATGAAAGATCTGCTTTTGCTTAGGAAGGCAAAACTTTCCTGCAAAGTCCACAGACTTGCCTGTGCCTCACTGGACAAGTTACTCACATGGCAAATGCTAGGTCCAAGGGAAGTTGGTAAATATAGTTTAAAAAAAAAAAAAAAAAAACAGAAGCTGGGCATGATGGTATATGCCCTTTTTGGGAGGCTAAGCAGGAGGATTGTAAGTTTGAGTCAAGGCTTGGCAATTTAGTAATTTAGAAAGACTATCTCAAAAAGAAAAAAGCAAGCACACAAGTGAAAATTTAAAAGGGCTGGGAATGTAATTCAATGTGAAGGCCCTGGGTTCCAACCCTAACACTGCAGGCCAGGGTGCTAGGGTAGCCCCATGGTAAATCACTTGCCTGGTGTTAGGTCTGAGAAGGGTAGAGGAAGAGGGGAAGGAAGGAGTGGAAGGAGTGGAGTGGAAGGAGTGGAAGGAGTGGAAGGAGTGGGCGGCGGTGGCTGCAAAGATAAGAAGTATAAAACATAAGTAACCTTTATTTCGGGAATGCGGGGAGAGACCCCCGGCCCCCGGGGCACAGCATCTCTTTCACCTGGTATGCAGAAGGTACTGGGTTCAATAACTAGCACTGCAGGAAAAGGGAAAGCTACAGTAGCTAAGAGAAGCCAGTAATAGCCCGTTTGATAGGTAGGAGCATGGGTGCTGAAGCAGAGTATGGGCGACCACTGAGACAATGGGCATAAGGAGGTTATCTTGGGGCTGAGAGGAGAAGGAGAAAGGACACAATCATGGTCAACACAAAATCTGAGAAGATCAGAAAGAGCAGGGGACAAAGAGCAAGGCCATAGGACAGTCAAGAGTATGCAGTCACCCTGCTGCCCCTCTCTGAGTCCTGGGTGCTGGGTCTCTCCCTCCAGAGGAGACCCTCGTTTCCACCTCAGATTCCGCATACCGCCCCACAGCCTGGAGGTCCACCGAGTGTTCACGAGGACAGGACCCCACAGGAGAGATCACAGCTGTAGCAGTCTGCTTCAGGTCCTGGGAGGAAAGAAAGTATAGGAAGTAGGAGTTGGGGGACTTCGTGAGTGTTGGGAAGTTTAGGGCCAGATGAGCTGCTGAGAAGGGCAGGCTGGAATGACTAAGGAAAGGTTATAGACTTTGCTCAAGCTTAATGGGTTTTTTTTTTTTAAGATTTGTTTTTTTTGGGGGGGGATTGAACTCAGGAGCTTGTGCTTCTCAGGTTGGCACTTATGCTGCTCACTTAGCTATATCCCCAGTCCATGAGTGGGATTCTTTTTTTTATTATTATTGATTTTGTTTTGTTCCTGGAAGTCAAATAGGCAGCATTCTGCCACTGAGTGACATCCTTTGCCCTTTTTTATTTTAAAACAAGTTCTTGCTAAGTTACCTGGGTTGGGGTTGAACTTGCAATCCTCCTGCCTCAGCCTCCCAAGGAGCTGGGACTGTAGTTGTGCATCATTGTGTCCAACCCAACCTTAAGGATTTGTTTTTGCAGTACTGGGAATTGAGCTCAAGGCCTTTGCATTGGCCTGCATACCCACCCCTTTTTATTTTTTTGAGACATATTCTTGCTAAGTTCCTTAGATACTCAGGCTGGACTGGAAATTGTAATTCTCCTGCCCCAGCCTCCCAGAGTGCTGGGATTACAGGCATGTGCCCCCATGTCCTGATCCAAACTCAGTTCTGAATTGATTTTGCCTTTCTAAAAAGAAAAGCAGGGAGCCATGGGAAAAAGAAGACAAAAGAAGAAATTGATTTCTGGGCCTGTCATCCAGTGTCTGTCGTATTTGTTCCAGAACGATCTGTTTTAAAGAAGCTGCAAACTTCCAAACTGCTCTCATTCCTTTACCACCTGTGGCCTTAGCCGTTGTGAGGGCAGCCTACCGCCTTGCCCTCAGATGGAGGCCCCTGCAGGACAGCACTGAGACGGGACCCAGGCCACTGAGGGGTACACCTCAATGATGGCTCTGACTCTGTGTTAACAGATAGCGGTGACAGGTAGCACCAGCACCCTCCTGGCCTCAGTCGTCCACCCGTAAAGTGGGTTTAGGGAACAGCAGATTGTTCAGCAGGGGCAATGTCCCTGGGGTCATTGGCCTGCCTTCGGCTCAGCCACAGTGTAATGACTCCAAATGGGAAAAAGTGGCTTTGCAAACCAAGGAAACCCTAGATGTGGTCAGATAAGACCTCAAAGGGGCAGGAGTGGGTGACAGAGGTTAAGACCAAAGACCCTGGCTGGATCTCAGCTCTGCCAGGGAAAACCGCGCCCACTAGGCTCTAGGAAAGCTCCGGGAAGGGTGCACACGGGCGCGCATGCCACTGGGTGGCGCACTTGCCCTGCCGGGAGCCCTAGAGCGGGCTGGGCTTCGCGACGCTGAGAACTGGGAAAGCTAACGTGCCAGGAAGGCGCAGAACAAATAGCAGAACCAAAGACTCAGCTTCCTGCCCAGCCCCAAGTCCACCCAGGGGTCTGGGAGTCTGCTCAGGACCCCGGAGCTGCGGGCTCAGACCCTGCCCGGGGACACCCAGTAGGGCTCCCTGATCCGGTCCTGGAGGGGGGTGAGGTCGGTGCTCGGCTCAGCTGAGGAAGGGCCGCGCCGGGCAGTTACTACCGCTGCCTCTGTCCCTTTTCCAGCTCTGGTGGCTTCCGGCGGGCTCCCGAGGAGAAGCCGGCGGTTCCTGGGTGGGCACGCGAGTGCGTGGGTGCCCTGCGCGTGTGCAGAGAGGACTGTACCCACGCTGCACTGCTTTCCCGGCAGCCTTGTTTTCTGCGCTCCACTTGGCCTCTTGGCGCCTCCCAGTTTCCCGTGCACCCCAGCCACCCACCCCCGCCTCTCCGCGTTCTACTACGGGTCCACAGGACCACGCCCTGCCTTTATCAGCAGACCTAACACCCTAGAATAAAATAGACCTTCAGTCTGATTCTGGGCTTTTCCAGCCTCCCCCACAGGCCTGGTGACCCAGCCTACCACTTTCAGGAGGTGGCCACACAGGCAGGACACTGGCTGGAATCCCATCACCCGCAGGAGGAAGGGGCCCTGCTTGTGCCCCCATCCGGCTAGGTCTGGTTGCAGATCAAGCGGCATGGAGGCTACAGCCTTGCAGGAGTTCCAGAGCTCCCGGTCTGCATCTTGCATGTTTCCTGGCCCTGATGGGTCCTCCAGGTGCAAGGCTTCTTGAGGGAGCCAGGGAGGCCTCCTAAACCCTAACCCGGGTTGTGGGGGGGGGGGGGAGTGGCGGGAATCGGCGATGGATGGTATATGGCCGCGTAATTATCCTTTCTCTCTCCAAGGCTGTTGATGGTGAATGATACACAAATTTGTATGCAGAGAGGGGCTGGAGATTTAGCTCAGCGGCAAAAGCGCCTGCCTTGCAAGCAGGCAGTTGTGAGTTTGATCTCTAGTACCGATAAAAAGACAAAAACAAAATTTAAAAAAAAAATTGTATGCATTGAAGTACTGCATCTGTAAGCAGATTTAGCATGTGCACCCAGATCCTGTTTCAGAATGATTATCTTATTATTTTTCGATTTTTAAAGGTGTTTGAAACAATTTATGAGACTCTGAGCCATTAGAATTGGGAAGAGAGCAACCAATTACATTTAATGTGTAAGTGTTCAGGAAAAGTCTACTCTGTTAAAATAATAAAATTTTATTTTTTAAATTGCAGGAGTAGTGTATGCCTGTTTAGAGGAGTGTTAGTTGTTTACATATTCTCGTGTTGGGTCTTAGACAAGATATGGAGCTGAAGGTGCCTCTCCATGGGTATGGAGCCCCTCTGCATTAACTGCCAAGTGCACGATGGCCTGAGGGCCCAGGGAACCAGCCAGGAGGCAGACCCTGAATGGGGCACCAATGGGGTGTCAGTCCCGAACCTGCCCCTTGGCCCTACCAAGGGATGGACTGTCCTCATCCCCTGAGAGTTGACATCTCTTAGAGTCAAAGTCCAGAAAAAGCCTGAGGGCACCTGGGCCTTGTCTGGCAGAGGCTTCAAAGGCTTCCTGCTTCTGAGGTAGGCAGCACATGGCCCTTGGGGTTGGCTGGTCTGGGTCTCCGCAGCCACTCCAGGTCCCTCTCCCTCTGTGTGACCCGCTGAGCAGGAGCCTGACCACCAAGTGGGCTTCTACTCACTCCTCCCTCCCTCCCAAGCTGGCCCACTCCTGGGGCTGGGCCTTGCAGCTCCAGGTGCTGATCTGAATTCCTGCTCCTGTCTGTGCAGGGAACTCTCCATGCCTCGAACAGTATGGATCCTCTGCAGCTCATTGGCCTAGTTTACACAACACATCTTCTGTAACCCTCTCTGAGGAGCAAGGGAAGACTCACAGACTTCATCAGGGAGCCTGCTGGAAAGGGTCACAGAGCACAGGGTAGTGCTATTTTAATAACTTGCTTCAAAATGTTGGACTAGTTAGTACAGCCACATGGAACGAATTACAGTTTCAAAAGGGTATTCAGTGGAACATTCTGCTCCTACCTATGTCTCCAGCCACCACCACCCTGTTCCCAGAAGCAAATACTGTTCTGATACCAGGTTTTCATGTATTTTTCCATACATATTTTAGAAGAGACTATGTTGGTTTTTCCTCCCAAATCCATTCTTTTCTTGGTAAGCCAGTGTGTGTGGTGGGGGGAAGAATCACAAAATTTTGGCTGGGTACAAAGGCATCAATGCAAAAGATCACAGTTCCAGGACTAGAGATATATAGGTCAGAGGCCCTGGTTCAATCTTCAGTATACACACATATGTACAAGCACACACACAGATGCACACACAAAGACAGACAGACAGGTGCATTGTCCAGCTACTTTTTGTAGGTAAGTACAAGGTTTCTCATCATTTCTCTTTCTGCATGCCTGTGTGTGTGCAAGATTGAGTATCGCATCAGGGGCTTCCATACTGAGCTATATCCCCAGCTCTTGGTATTTCTAGATACAGTCCTCCTACCTCAGCATCCCAGAGTGCCAGGCAACAGACATGTGCCACCACACGTGGTTACTCTCTGTTTTTTATAGTTTGGTTTTTTCCTAATCTATAGCACTTATATTACTTTTTCTTAAATTTCTGTCACTGCTTGCATTTCTCATAGGTTCTTCTTTACTTTAGCCATGAGAGCCCTCTGCATATTAATTAGAGCTGTTTTACATTCTCAGTCTGATTATTCAGATTCCCTTTCATATCTGAATCTAATTCTGATGCTTACTCTGGATCCTCAAATTGTGTTTTTTTATTTGCCTTTCAGTATGCCCTGTATTCTCCCCACATGTGGACAGACTGTACTACTCTACTGGAGAGGGGCTCCTATAAATAGTAACTTCTGGGAGGTGGTGATAAAACATGGTCCTCTGCCCTATGCTTTGGACTTAAACCTTTTAGGAAGCCAGTGCTTCTGCACTGTGAACTTTAAGAGTCCTTCTCTGTGGCTCCTCCCCTGCCTGGCTGGTTGAGCAGAATGGCGACAGTGTGGGCTGGTGGGTTCTGACAAAATGTCAGCAGATCTGAGGTGAATGGCTATTTTCTCCTGAGTGTGAACAGGTTTATTGTGCCCTGGTGCCCAGCTTGCCTGAGACTGAATGCTTGCACACAGGAATTCACATAAAAGAGATTTATTGTTTACAGATGGGCAACCAGGAACAATGGAAGTTTAGGATTCTTTGTGAGCAGGTCCCCTGAGGCTGAACAAAGTTTCAAGTCTTGTCTCTGAGTGTTTCGCTTACAGGGCAGCTGTGGGACCCCAGAAAGCAGCCCACTCTTGGTGCTTCATCCCAGGCCCATGTGACTTATTGGGCTAAAGCATGGAGGACATCCTTTTCCAGGAGTGACTGGAACTGTGCAGTCCATTCCAGCCAGTTCCTCCTTGTCTCAAGATGTTGCCCTCCCAGCACACGTGACAGGTATTCTGGAGGACTACAAGTGAAGGCATGAAATGAGCTGAGCCTATTCAAGGCCATCTGGTGACCTGTCCTAACATCCACCTCCTTGACCCAGACATCACACTTACCAAAGCTGGGCCATTGTGTGTGCTCACGGACTCCTGCAGATCCAAGGCAGAGGCTGGTCTTATCAGATCAGTGCACCACCTCAGTGCATTGTTTCAGAGACATTGTTATGTGCCTGTCACCAAGATGACCACTGAAACAAGTACTGTGTCAGCCTCATCTGGTGCACTCAGGACTCAGTGGTTCAGGTATGATGTTGCTAAAGAGACTGCCTTAGTCGCTTTTTTGTTGCTGAGACAAAATACCTGACACTTAAAGGATGGAAAGGATTTTTAGCTTAGTTTGTAGAGATTTCAGCTTACAGTTGGCTGGCTCCAAGGCAGGGTGGCACGACAGAGGGACACCACAGAGGAGAAACAATTCTTGGCAGGCAGAAGATGGCAAAGCATCAGGGACCCTCTTTCCTATCCAGTCTCCCCACCTTCAGGGAAGGTAGCACCCACACCTTACTCCCAGCACCCAGCCTCACTCCTGGCATCACATCATGAATCCTTGATCCCAGTATTACACATTCTAGATTGAGCCACCTCTGAAAAGCCCCATCCATGACCTCAAAAGGCTTTGGGAGACATCTCGACATGAACCATCACAGAGACCAAGGAAAGATCCCTCGGACAACTCCAGTGTCCTCAGACTGTGATCCTGCTCTGCATCTCCTCTTGGTCTCTTGGACACTTGGTGTGTTCATTCAGACATAACAGAGGAGTTAGCACCCTTACACACCCTCTCACAGGGCCCAAAGCAAAGTCTGGAGGGCCCTGTGGCTTTGAACTGATGCATGAAGCTAGACCCCAGCACTGTTAGCTTTTTACTGATTTGTAGGGGCTCATTCTAGATTAGGAACCCCAGCCATTTGTGGTATGAGTTTCAGATGCTTTCTTAGCCACCATTGGCCTTTTAACTTGGCTTATGCATTATTTTTTGAGGGCTGGGCTGCTTGTGGCTGCTGAGGACACCAAGATAAGAAAGATCCACACTTCTGTCCTCCAGAGAATGTCCAGCCCACAGACACAAAGCAGGCTTGGTTGGTAACCAGACTGGATGGAACAGAGACCTGGACTCCAGGTTTGTCCTGAAGAAGGTAAATTGAGACTGTCTCCTGCATAGCACAGGTAGAGAAGTGTCCCGGGGAGGGCAGGGCCAGCCCAAGGTGCCATGGCAAACAGGTGGGCCAACTCTGGAGGCTGTTCTTTCCTCTATTCCAAAACTGCTGCTAATCAGCACTAAAGCTGCTCATACTATATCCTGAGAATGCCTTACCTTGCACAAAGTGAGGTGGGATTGGAGTTCGATGGACTCAGTCTCTGTGGGGGAGCATTTTGAATACAGAATAGCCCACCTTGCTGGGTGGAGAGTGCCTTAGAGGCACTGCCTGATGGGATAAAGTTCTGTGGAGAGTTGTCTTTCAGGGAGACCTGAGAACCATCCCAGTGGCCTCAGGCCTCTTCACTGGCCTCTACCCCTGGTTACTCCTATGCTAATCCTCACTGGTCCCAAGCTGAATGACTATTCCCTCTTATTATTCTTGCAGTCAGAAACTTCTGTTATCAACTCTGGTTGCTTTAGAGTAGCAAAGGCAGAGTAAATACTTTTCTTTACCAGGTTTTGAAATGAGTTTTTTTAAAAGCATAATTTCCAATTTTTTTTGTAAATGGTCATAATGAATAGCCATAAATACATCAGATGTATCTTATCTCTTTGCAGTTATTATCACTGATGCCCAAATTATCCTGTCTTGGTTGAGAACTGCTTCTGTCTCCTGACTCTGTCCTTTCTACAAGCCTTCAGTGGTCTTTAAGAACCTGCTTGCTGCTGTTCATGGTGGCTCATGCCTGAAATCCCAGCACTCAGGAGATTGTGGTTGGAGGATCTCTACACTATATAGAGACCAACTGGAACTACATAGCAATACCATGTTTGAAACAACCAAAACAAACAAATGAACCTGCTTGCTATCTGGTATGACAAGATGTTACACACTCATCATGCACACATTTTGCTTCTGGTTCACAATTAGCCCTTTCTCCAAGAAGTTCTTTTTATAGGAAGTTGTTCAGCTGCCTCTTGAGAGTTATTCATGCTTTCTGCACAAACATCCTGGAAATTGGGGCATGGGTGGCTCTTGCCTAAACCCAGACATTGACCAAGGTTTTGGTACACAAGAGGAAAATTCCTTTTGCTGTTCCAGGATTTCACAATTGTGTGGTTTTCCACTTTGACTCTACACTAAAATTCTCTAGAGAGTTCTACAAAGTACAAGTGCCTGGATCTGTCCCCAGAGATTCTGAATTAACTGGACTAGGATCTGGCCTGAATGACAGGATTTTAGAAGCATGGTACTCCCAGAGGGAGCTCTGGCTGTACAGCTTATCACATCCCATGCCTGTCTTTATGCACTTACCAAGCATATCTGGAACCCTGAACAATACCTTTTGCAGAGCTTAAACATTTGTGTACATTGCATCCTATTGAATGCTTTATTCTGAAGCACGTTGTACTCTTTAGCATTTTTTCAGTGCATCCAAGTTGACACTCACACCTCTGGGCATTCTTTGTAGTTGCCACAGTACTAGACTGCCCCATCAAATTTCTGCTCGACTCTAATATGCTTTCTTAATCACAGCCATCCCATCCCCACTTCAGAGCCTTTGCACTTGCTGCTGCTTTTCCCCAACATACCCTTGGCCCAGTGTTCCAAGACCCAGTTCCTCGCTTCCTTCCAGTGTCTGACAGATGCCACCCTGTGAGGGATGCTGCAGTGCGCATGCTCCACCTTGCCTTGCTCCATGGGAGGAACCATCTCTGGCTTCCAGCTGGCATGAGGCATGGCCCTGATCACTGGGGTATCACATGGGAGGGGACCTCACACAGTGGGAAGCATGTGCTTCCCCAGATCCAGGGGTCATACCTGCCATCATCTCTTGCAGTATTTAAAAACACACAAACCACAAACAGTATCTACTCCCTTAAACTTAGAAAATATTGGTTAAACCTGAAAAAGCACTTTTCCTCTCTCTTCCAAATGTGAACTAGTGAGTACTCACTTGCTGTGGCCCATGGGCCAAGCAACCCCAGACCCGGAGGTGAGGTGGCCAGGGCAGGAAGAAGTATTCAGCATCTGCTCTGACCTCATCCACCCCTGGACTCACAGCTCCCCACAGCTGGTCCTCATCATCCTTCCCGTTTGTCCACACTACATAGCAGACCCTGCTGTGGGGTAGGGAACGCAGATGTGGGTGTGATTTTGAGAAATCTACACACTGGGAATAGGACATAGAATCAGGCAAACAAAATGCAACAGTCCTCCCAGTTCTCTTGTGTCTGTTTCCTACTTGAATCTTCTCCCCCTTGAGAGCTCTGCACCAGCGGGGCGCCCCCACATCCACTCTGTCCCTGACACTTGCCACCCAGACTTCCCACAAACTCACCTGAGATGCTCATGGCAGACTCTTCCTGGGAAATGGCTCCTGAGATATAACTGCTGGTCTGGTCTTTCAAGCTTGACTTGGGTTTTTACAATGGTTCTTAACTTTGGCTGCTTATTGTAATCACCAGGAGCTAAAATAAATACTTACTGCCTGAGTTCCAGCCCAGAGATGCCAATTTCATGGTCCAGGGAATAAGAGGTTTTGAAAACCTCTCCAAGGAGTTCAACTGTGTATCCAAGGTGGAGAACCACCAGCCATGCAGTAAAGGATATTGTGTTCATTCTCTCAGTAGTTTGCATTGTGGATTCTCAATTTTTTTATCAAATAAATAAACCTGGTTGTAAAGACTATTGCAGCTTTTATCCCAGGTCCCTAGAGAGTTAATGCCTTTGATTTGTGGGGTCGTCCTTAGAGCCCTGTTTCTCCATGGGAGATTCTAGGGCCAGCAGAGCATCAGGATTATCTATAGTTTGGTAGTTCCAGGCTGCTACCCTGAAGCCTTGATAGCTGCCAAACTTTCAGTACAAGGGAAACACACACACACACACACACACACACACACACACACACACACACACGAGAGAGAGACAGAGAGAGACAGAGAGAGACAGAGAGAGACAGAGAGAGACAGAGAGAGACAGAGACAGAGACAGAGACAGAGACATACAGAGAGAGAGGAGAGAGAGAGAGAGAGAGAGAGAGAGAGAGAGAGAGAGAGACACTTGAACAAACAGCAATTTCTAGCAGCTTGAGACTACGTTTCCTTGAATCTCTGCTTAGGGAAACTCAACAAGGCTCAGAGAATTTACCATTTGTTTCAGCCAGCACCTGACCACAGGCTGCTCACTTCTCTTTTCTTAAAACATTTCCTTTATGAAATTACAGTAGTAAATTTTCTGTCTCTTTGAGGGAGGTAGTTACCACCTATAACCCAGGATATGGGAACCACTTCTTCAAAAGTAATTATCAAGAGGCAGAGTTGCCCCAGGGCCCTGAGGACAGAAGCCCCATGTCACCAGCCTTCCGGTCAGCAGAGAGAGCCTCAGCACACTGACCCCACTTTCCGCACTCTTCTACTTTTTGGACCCTGTTTGAGCCAGTCCTTTCACTTCCCAATGGTGGATGGCATTTAAAGCCTCAATCATTTCTGCAGATTTAAAGCTGCCTCAGTTCGACACTGACTTGTCACTACTGTTCATCAAGGGGATCTGCCCATCTTCAATGATCTCCATTTTAGTAAGATAAGGTGATCTGCACACACTTAAAAGCTGGACAAGCATTGTCTTGTAATATTTATCATTCTCAGTGACTTTTAATGAACAGTTCTGAATGGTAGGGCAGAATTTTCACATCCATCTTACAAATGAGGGAATTTTGAGGTCAGTGCTCTAAGGTCAGTAAATTAGAAATTGAGCCCACCCTCAGTGGTCCTCCTCATGACCACACCAACAGGAGACCACATATACGACCTGGCTCTTCTGTAATTGGAAGAGAACTGCCTTCAGGCATCAGGTGTCAGCTGGACACCAGAGAACCATTTGCCAGTTACTTGTTAGCAACAGGAGTCCAGGGAGAGGATGTCCCATCCACCTGTGCAGGCCCTGAGGTATCTCGAAAATGGGCCAATCTAGATGGGCATGGGTTTGTGCATTCTCCTCAGCTACCACCACCGTCAGTCAGACCCAGGCCTGGTACAGGCCAGGACAACATGCTCCTAGCGCAACCACACTGCAGTTCCCAGCTCTCCTAGCCTGACTCTGGCCTTCTCTATTCAAGCTCCTTTCCTCCTATGGGCCTGGGGCTCAGAGTATCTTGGTGGAGACTCCCTGGTTACTCACAGGACAAAACTCAAGCACAGGGGCTGGGGATTTAGCTCAGCGGCATAAGCGCCTGCTTTGCAAGCAGGCAGTTGTGAGTTTGATCCCTGGTACCGATAAAAAGGAAAAAGGAAAAAGACAAAAAAAAAAAAAAAAAAAGACTCAAAACTCAAGTACAAGTTAATGAAACAAGATGTTTCATCATTTCTACGTCCTTTCTCCTGTCAATTTAGCAAATTACACTGAAAGGCCAGCATAAAAGCAGTTACCAATTTTAAATACCAAAATCATTCCTCCAAGAAAGACAGCAGAATCACCAGCATGAATGACAGGATGAATCTCCAATCATTTTCAAAACTGCTCCATTATTCTAATGAGAGCCACCCATCATGCTCCACAAGAGGAGAATGGTAACTTTTGAGTTTCAGCCAATTTATGGTAAGTATTTTCATTATTAGTTTTGTCAGAAAAATTTGTGTACACAGATGTTTTCTGTTGTATAATTTTATTAAAGTCAGAATAATTACTTGTAGAAATATAAATCTGAGGCTAGAATGAAAGACAATAAGACAAGAGATTTCACTTTATATTTACCTTTATCAAACCACCCAACAGCCCTAAATTGCTTTGTATGAGCACTGACATGTTGAGTCATTAAAAGAAAGTTCTCAAGCCAAAACCCTTAATTCTACAATCTTTAATTCAATCATCACCATCTTTTCTTAGATTTTAAATTGTATTTTATTTTTTGGTTCTGGGAATTGAACTCAAGACCTCACGCTTGCTAGGCATGTGCTGTGCTGCTAAGCTATATCCTCCACCCTTAGATTTTATTTCTATTTTTTTTTTGTGTGTGTGTGTGTGAGATGCTTGGGGTTGAAGCCAGGGCTCAAGTATGCTACACAAGTGCTTTACTAATGAGTTGCACTCCTAGTCCCAACTTTTCTTAATACTTGAAGATATGAAAATAAAAATTTCAAGTAAAGGTACTCAAACACACATTTATAGTGAGGTGCAGCTGTCAACTTTAAGCCTTCTATTTTCTAGATCTCTTCTTCACTAGTCTCTTAGATTTTTTTCAGTCTTATTTTGGGGCCTATTTTGCCTTAGGGGCCTAAACTGGAAAACAACATAATTCATTAATAATCCACAATGAAAATGTGGTGCATGAGTGAGCTGGCCCCCTTCATGGATCACTGGTTCTCTGAGGCTAAACTCCTGGGTTTGACCTTCTTGGCAGCTTCCAGAACAGAAAGTGGGTTTACTTTGTCTCCAAATTCTTTTTCTCGGTGCTCAAGAAGAATACCCTGAAAAGAAATGGAAGGGAACATCAGTCCTCATTCATAAGAGAGCCACTGAGTGCCAGCTGTCTGTACAGCCCTATGCCTGAGGAGAGGACACAGAGCTGCACCAGGCCGGGCACCTGCCCTGGGTCCTTTCTCCTAGGGAAGCCACTTCACAGCACTTGAACTGCACACGCAGCTGAAGCCAGACAAAGGGGTTAGGGAAGGCTTCACAGACCAGGAAGCACAGGAGGAGGCAGCAGGATGGACACAGGAAGTGAGAGAGGTAAAGGGATGCTGCAGCTGAAGACCACAGAATGAAGTTAACACAGGAAGACTCAAAGAAGCAGAACTCGAGAGGTGAGACTCTGGCAGGTGTTGAATGACCAGCTGAGAAGGAAAGCCAATGCCTTTCTTCAGTCTTCCTGAGAAACTGTGAGCCATTCTTTTTATCGTGAAGGAAAACACACTGAGGTACAGGATACCCCAAAGTTACCCTAAACTACCACACCATATAAGATGATATGATGATATGATATGATATAATAGCTTGAGATGAGTGCTAAGAAGTGCTTGATAAAAATATCTCTAACTCATAACATTTGACTTTTTGTTTTTTAATTAATCGGTAGCGGGGATTGAACTCAGGGCTGCACACTTGCAAGGCAGGCACTTATGCCGCTGAGCTAAATCCCCGGCCCAACCCATAACATTTGAAAACTCATCTTATATTTAATTTTAAAAAACTGTAAATACATTGTCATTATCTATAAAGACTTAAAAAAATAACCTGTGATGGTGACTACAGGCAGATCAGGAAATCATATTTGCTTGCTCAATAAAGCATAACAGCAGCATACTGAGGAAGAATATATAACGACATGGAGAAACGTGCAAGACACATTACTAATAGGAAAAAATTTTGCTTCGATAATACTTTATCTTCTGAAAATGAGACAAAGCTAAAGCCACTCAGCTCTGTCCCAGTGGGCTGCCCACGGTGGCTGAACTTGCAGGATGACCTCACCATCACATTGCTATTTTCAAATTTTCTGCAGTACATTTCTCTCTACTTCTTTAAGTATGCCTTATAGATTATTATCATCAAAAACAAAAACAAAAGCATGAACATGAACAATGATGGATACCCAGTATCCCCACGGGCAGCACCTGGCAGGTAAGTCCTGGTGCTCAGCCAGCCTCGTAAGCCTTCCCTGGGGCTGAGGAAAGCCAGGAGCTCAAGGGACACCAACAAACTCAAACATCACACCTGGCAACGCAGGAATGTGCCACTGGGCTGTGAGCACCAGGTGAGTCACTCTGAAGCAAGAAGAGACTGGCAGGTGTACCAAACCCTGCTGCAGAGGCCAGGGGAGGCAGAGCCAGAGGGAAGGGGCAGTGAAATTTGCATTTCACTTCAAGTTTCATTTCCATCATACTCCTCCTTGCTGTGTCTGTATGACTGGTTTCCTATCTCTAGGCTCACTGCCTTCTAGGTAGATGGGGACAAGAGTTCTTGACATCCCAGACTGGCCGCGGAGGACCCAACTTCCTGTGTGGGCTCCTGGGCAGACAGGCAGTCATGCTCCCACAGTCACTACCACTGATATTTTTATCTGTTTACCATCAAATGAGCAAACAGGTTTCATTAAATTACACACTGTTCAACTGCAAATTCTAACAGAAGCAAATACAGTTATCAAAGCAAAATAGAAAAGAAAGAGATCAGAAATAAGCTTATCCAATGGCTTCTATTCTCAGTTTCAGATCTTTTAAATTGGGAAAAGAGCAATTATCAACATTGGTGGTGAGATCCAATGCTGCAGATCATTTTGTCCTGCCACATAGAGAAAAACTTTCTTTTCTTTCTGAGCTGTGTCACAAGCAAGGTTGACAGACTGGCCTGAAGTTAGGCCGCCAGTCGCAGGCTGTCCCCCTGCCCTACCTGCCCTCGCTCTGCCCTGCCCCTGCTGTTCATCTTCATGCATGGATGGCACTGCCCCACACCATCTACAGGGGACACACGCCCCTGCTCAGGGGCCCACCATGACCTCAATGTTCTCCTCCATCTCTTCCTCCCATGTCCCCAGGTTGACTCTGGGTCTTTAGGACCCAGCCTCACCATGGTCTCTCTGCACCTCTCCAGGCTCCACCCCAGCACCAAGCCCCTCACAGGGGAAAGTGTGTATCCCCCTTGCTACTTGCCCCATCAGGCCTGTTTTTTTCCTTCTTTCCTCTTGGCTTTCTCCATCATGGCTTGGAAAAGCACTAAAAGAATAACTCATAAAGAGAGTACAAATGACGCTTTGGTTCACGCCCAGAAGACAGAACCTAAAGTCAGAAGGCCTAGGTCCAAGCCTTAAGTGCCACCGTGGAGCTGTGCTCCTCAGTGCTGTCACTCAGCTCTCCAGGTCCCAAGACCTGTATTTGCAATGTGGTCACGCTGCTTCTGACTATAGTATGACATCTGCCTTCCCTTCCCCTCTTCATGCTTCCTGGTCCTAAAAGGAAGGCCAGGAGGCCCTGAGCAGGGAAAGTCAGCCCTCGACACCCCCACTGACCCACAAGAAGAACACTGAGAATTTACCTGTTTTCCTGATCCCACCACAAAAACTCCCCCAAGGATGACCCCTTCGCCCTTCAGATTTCCAGAGAAGCCTCCATTCCAGGCCCGGAAGAAGTTGCACCACACGCCCAGACGCATGAATCCCATGAACAGCAGCTTCCGTCTCTGTGGACCGTAGAACTTTTTCTGAAAAGCAAGAAAGAAGCCCCATGGGCAGCCTGTATGCTTCCTTGCCCAGAGGGCCAGGTTCCAGGCAGGACATCTGAGAGCAGGCAAAGCCCCCATCCTGCTGGGTCAAGTCGTTTGCTCACCCTGCCAGGACCACTCTCAATTGCCTGCAGACAGAAACTCCTGCCAGATGCAGCTTCTTCTTCAGAAACTGTGCATATGTGTGTGCATGTGCATGCGCTTGCCTCACATATGCCAGGCAAGTGCTCCACCACTGAGCTACATCCCCAGCCATGAGTTCCACTTCTGACCTGAGGCAGGCCTGACTGAGGGAAGCAACTCTGTCTTCTCACTGTTTTGTGTTCTGTGGTTCTTGATGGCACCCAGGGAGCACTGATACACGTTCAGATCCCTTTTTATTTTTTGAGATAAGGTCTCATTATCTTGCCGAGGCTGGTCTTGAACCTATGATCTCATCTCAGTCTCCTAAGCAGCTGGGATTGTAAGTGTTTATAACCATGCCTGTGGGATTACTGGCATTACTGTTATGATTATTGTGCAGCACTTCAGAGCATCATACACACTAGGCAAGCACCCTCACACTGAGCTACAGTTCCTGCCTCTTATTTCTTACTGATAGGTGTTTAGTCACATTAATTTGCCCCTCACCGTGGTGGAGGTCCAACGTGGCCACAAGACCATAAAATGACATTTTATCAATCTTCTTCCTACAGTGCTCCAGACCCCAAACAGACTCCCTGCCTTTCCTTCCCACTCTCGACAAAGGCATTCCAATTCCTAGATAAAAACATCACTCCTGTTCCACTGTCACCAGCCAGTTTTGCACCACCCATTGAGAGTTAATATAAGCGGGCCCCAGCCCTTTGTCTGGGGAGAGAGCTTCTGCATTCCTCCAGTCTCTTCCAAGGATTCCCACCTGCATGTTGGGCACCTGACAGAGTTTTATCTACTTCCCACCCTCCTGGGGCATGCTGCAGGGAGAGAATTCAGAGATAATTAAGAGGACAGCCTGTGTTGATGGTTGGGAAGCCCCTGCAAGGCAGCAACGGGACGACCAGCACACATCTCCAGCAAGACATGACCTGAGCCCCCCAACTCTCCACAGCTGAGACAGCCCTCACCAATCACAGCATATGCACCTGAGCATCCAGGAAGATTTCTCCCTTGAAATAAGGCTGGAAGTCCTCCACTTCAGTTCCGACCTGCTCCTTCACCACGGCATAGAGGGGGACACCCAATGCATCCAGCTGGGGTTTCAGGGAGGACAGGTCTGCAGCCTCCTGCAGGACAAGAGGGGTTCAAGTTCAGGGCCATGAAGTCCCGGGGCTCTGGGGTCAACAATGTATTCTCACCCTGATTGGCCAGAGGATGGCTGGTGCTGTGGGGAGAGGAACAGCAGCAACAAAAGGCTAGATGGTTCAGACCGCGGAGCCAAGGCTGCACCTGTCCCAGCGGGCTCCAGCTGCCAGTCTGTGTCAGGCACCCTCCTCCGTGCAGGTTTCCTGTCTTTCCTGGGGTGGAAAGTAGAGCTGGCTCCTGTTCTGAGTCCCAACAACAGCCTGGGAGCAGCTGCGACTGGGAGGCTGCATCCCAACAGGTCCTTCGCCCCCAGCACTGTGCTAGGCTGAACTGGCAATGGACCCACAGACAGATACCACACAGACCACATGACCAAACCCCACACTGCTGTACTGGGGCCCCTCACATCTGCTGCAATCCTCCATCTCTTTCCAGCTCAAACCTGACTCTCGGGGAGGCCTCTCTGGTCTAGAAAGATGTTTGTACAGGGAAGCTCTGTCTGTGTGTCTATCTTCCCTGCTTGGTGGTTTTTTGCTAGGTCCAGATGTCACTGTTAAGCTGAATGTTGTTGCTGAATCCCTAATGTGCCCCCACAGTCAGAAACTAAGTGTTCCATTTCTTAGAGCTTCGGTGCCTGGCACAAGGCTGGATACAGAGAGGGTACAGATATCAGGCAGAATGATCTGAAGCTGAACAATGCATACAGTGCAGTTGAGCAGTATGGTATGGACGTCCCTGGGAACTGTGTGCGGATGAATAACAATCACAGGAGTGACAGAGAGGCTTCAGCCTAACAAATTTCTTTTTCACATTAGGTGTCAGAATTAAAAGAATCAGCAGGAAATCCTTTAAAAAGGAGCCTGCTCATCTCCAACAACAAACATGCTGCTCTATACTGGCAACTAGAATTAAGTTTTCATTACTTTCTAAAATAGGGAAGATAGGATAACAGGCACAGGAGAATTAATTATAATGCATTTATCAAGAGTTTTAGGGCCTGGCAGTTTTTCCCTAGAGCAGTGACAGCAGTGTTTGATATGGTCAAAGACCATCTGTGGAAGATTAAGTTTCCCTTGCTTTTTCTGTGCTCTTCATCCTGGGTATTTCCCTGTGAAAAGCCATGAAGTGGAAATTGAGTCATGCACCTTCTCCTTGGGCTTCTCCCAGGAACTCAGACTACCACCTTGCCACCCAGCCACCATCCTGAAAACTGTTTTTATACAATGATGTACCACAGCAAGGACCAGCACAGAGGAAAACAGGATGCAATTAGCAGTAAGTGTTGTTTTTGGAACCCCCTGAGTTTCACTGTCTCAAGAGATCAAGTCAAACAGGTTTCCATATTGGTGTCTCCAGGCACTACAGACCTGCAATGAAAAGCCCCAAGTTTAAACTCTGCTGTAGTGGTGGGCAGAGTAGTGAGCCTCCAAACATACCTACAGCCTAATTCCCTGGAAGCATGAACATATTCTGTGGCATAACAAGGGGGAATGAAGCCTGAGATGAAATTTAGGCTGCTGATTAGTAAAAAGATTGTCCTGTGGGTCGGGGCATTGGTTTAGGAGTACAGAGTGCTTAACAGACCCAATACCTTGAGTTCAAATCCAGCACTTGTATGCGCAGACACACACACAGCCAACCAGCCAGCCAGCCAGCCAGACACACAGATTCTCCTGGTTATCTTGCCAGGCCCAATGTAATCACCAGGACTCTTAAAATGTGAAGGAGGGAGGCGGACAAGTTAGTATCATAGGATTATAACATGGGGATGACTTGACCAACCATCACTGAGTTAGAAAACAGAGCAACAGGCCATAAGCTAAGGAATTCTGGCAGCCTGCAGAGACTGGAGAAGGCAACGCAATGCATCCTCCACCACAGCCTCCAGGAGGAATGTAATTGCATGCTACCCAGGGTTGGACAATAACTGTGTTGTTTAAGGGCCCTGCGCTAGTGGCCACTCTGATGTGGCTACAGCAGCAACAGGAAGCTGATACACCTCTTTGGCAGTGCAGCTGTCTTCCAACCTCCACACCACTGCTGCCTCTGTGAAAAGGGAAATGTAATGAGAAGTCAAATTTCCGGGAGATATGGTGAGGGACAACCAAGGAAACAGGTGTAGATGTGCTATGTGAGTAGGCGGATTTCTCACACATGAACAGGAGAGACAGCCAGGCTACAGAGGGGACCCTTTGGAGTGGGAGATGACCTGTGGAATCTGGATAGGAACCTGGGCGAGGCTGAAGCTAGGGTCTGGGAAGCTAGGCTGCTGCCGGGACAGGAGCTCTGCCTTTCTCAGCTTTCTTCCACACGAGGCAGCCATCTGAGAACTTGACACTTCAGCTCCTGAGTGGGCAGTCTACCAAACCACAATGGCCCTCAGCTTGCTTATCACAAAGTGACAAGTCCCCTCTGACACAAGGTGCCTTCTTTTCATAGGTTTCCTCACTTCCTGCACAGGTAGCGATGGGCCAACCAGGAGACTCCTTAGTGAGCAACAATGCTCTCCTGGCTCTCCTGCCAGTGCACCATGCCATCAGCATGATGGGCACCCCAACCCTGTGAGAGGGGCAGTGAGTCAGAAGGGCAGTCACGATGGAGTGTGGAGTACTCAGATACCCAGGTGGGACTTGGTGGCTTCCCAGGCCACGGACAGGCAGATCTGTTCTAAAGTGTGGCCTTAAACAGCATCTGCTCATGCTGCAGCCCCATTACAATTGGGGGTTACCCACACCCTATCAGTAGCAGCCCAGTCCCCATTTCATAGGTGAGTTTCATGCTGATGCCAGGACCATGGCATTGGACCTCACTGATACCCTGGGGCAGGTGGAAGTAGTCTGGGACAGACACTGAAACAACACAAGGTGAAAGGCTTGGAAGCACCAGGGAACTCAGATGTGTTGCCAGCCCCAGTCAGAGGTGGCAAGGGTTACAGAACAGGAACAGAGCCTATGCTAAGAAATAACTGGTGCAAATAAAAGAGAACAGCCTGTAGCTGAATGAAGGGCAAGGAGGGCCTGCAGCATGGAAACTGAAAGCCCCATCTGTTGGAATCCTCTGCTCTGAACAGATTCTCAAAAGCACTTACCTCACGGCAGAGGAAACAGCCTGGCCTCCGCACAGCCATAATCACAGCTCCATTCTTCTCCCATAGCTCCTTTGCTTTGAAAGTTCTTGGTTCTAAGGGAGAAGAAATGGAAAACAACATCCTCTCCTCCCAGCCCTGCCTCAAATCCTGAGCAAGGTCAGAAATGAGGCCTGGCAGAGGACTAAACTGTGCATCTTCCCAAGGAGCGGGATAAGGCTTAAGGAGTGGACTGCATGCTCAAAAGGTCCCTCCCCCCAAATCTACTTTCAAACTTCAGTCCTCCAAACTGCAGTATTTCCAGCTCAGTCATAAATCCTTTTATGCTGGCATCATGGGATACTGTAACAACCCTATGCAACACAAACACGGCTTGGACTCAAAGCTCTGTACTCTGAACTTACTCCGTTCCTAAGAATGTATTCAAGGGACAAAAAGGTAATGTAACTTAAGCATGCTAATTACACTATTACTAATAAAGCCAGCCAGATGATGTACAGTGAGGAAATATTGCAGCCCAAGTCTGCTTCAGAGGTTGCTAGGAGCCTGACTCTAGCTGGGTCCTGGGAAAAGGAAGCCACTCTTTTCCTCTTAGGTCCATTTGTAAAAAGCAGGTATGGGGTAATCCCACTCTGAGTTGCAGGGAGCATCAAAGGATGAATATAAACACACTCATCAGAGTCTGGTCGAACAGTTTGTGAGGGCTTAATAAATATGAACCCTAATTTCTATCTCTGATGCATCCATGTCCTATAGGATGTTATGTGAACAAGAAAGGAAGGAGGGAGAGAGAGAAACTGTAACTGAAGGGAGACTGAAAAGCCTGGGCTGAACAAAGCTCAACAGGCTTCTTTGCACCTTACTAGCCTTCCATACAATCATGCCTTTGCCCTTGTTAGCTAAGTGCCCTCAGGGAGCAGCACAGTGGCTTCCTCCTGGGTGCTAACCTGGATACCCTCAGCCTGCGAGCCCCAGTGTATACCTGGATATGACCAAGCCCACTGAGTTATAGCCTGCATACTTCAGATGGCCAGTGAGGATGCAGGGCGACCATGAGTGTGTGTGTGGCTTTACACCCTCTGGGGAATTCTGGGTGGATCTCCAGGGGAGGCAGATAGGCCTGAACTACAGTGCCAGACTGGAGAGGGGGCTGACTGCACCCCATCAGTAGCAACCAGATCCACTGGGTGCCAGACCTCACACTGAACATCAGGAACATGAAAATGAACAAGTGTGTGTCTCAGACTTCTTGAACTCAGGGGCTCCTTTTTTTAGGAAGATACCACAAGCCTGGATTTCATTGGAACACTCTGGGGAAGGCCTACCTTATTAAGTGACGTTACAACATCATCTAGTATTACTAAGTTATTTACAATTACTGTTAGAGAGACAATAGAGTGAAAAATGATGTTGAAAAGAAAAAGATAAGACAGCAATTTATACCAAGATCACAACCATATAATAATATGTATACACGGAAAAGAATAGGCCAAAATAAAAACAATGATTATGTTATAGTAATGGAGCAATGTAATTTACAAAGTGTTATTATAATTTCCTTAATACTGTTATGTTGCCTTTTCAAAAAATAAAGAGCTAGTTTAAAAAGAGTAAGTAACCCAGTACCCTGGAGCAGTGGAAAAGTACTGAGAACAGCGGGGTCACTACTTACCCTTCTCTAGTGTTTTCAGGTCCACGTCCTCCAGATATTCCAGAGTGGCTTCTTGGGATTTGGACAGAAACACGTCTGTGTTGGCCAAGAGCAGCGCCAGGGCAGCAGCCCCCAGGGCTCCGGCACCAATGGACCACACCCCCATAGCAAAAAAGCTTGGGTCCTGGAGGAAAGACATTCTGGAGATGGAGAGGAAGGAGGATGTTACTGTTCCCACAGGGCGGCTCAGATCTGCCAGGCAAGGCTGAGGCAGTGGGGAAGGTGGCCCAGAGGCTAGGGGAGGAGGGGCTACAGTGGGGGAGACCAGGTTGGACAGGACTGCAGGACACTTGCCACACCCAGGGCTCCCTACTACACCAGCAGTTCACCCAAGGGGCTCACCGGGAGTTAGGCACCAGTCCAGGGATGCAACAGCCTTCTCAGGGCTCCTCTTGTGCTCCTTCCCAGCCCTAGGCGGTGGCAGCCAGCCTGCAGTGACCTCCTGGTGGCAGAATAATTGCTCATTCTTTTCTTTCCTGATGCCTGTCTTTCACTACCCAAGTGGCTTAGCTTAGAGCTGACCTCCCTGGCTAGGTGCAGCTTTCTCAGAGGAAACTAGTTTTGCTGCTCTGTTTTTCTTCTTTCCTTTGAAAATCTCTGAGAAACAAGGACTGCATCCTATTCACCAAGGCCCCAGCTAGTGTCCAGCTAGGCTTCGCTCCTCTTTACACAGGCAATCTCTGTATACTTCTCCCAACTGGGAGGAGCTTTATTTTTAACTCATTATAGAAACAGGTCACAAAAAAATAACTAAACCAGAGGTATTACATAAAATTGAGAAAACAAATTTCTGAAGTGAAAATGGCCACTGCACAATGCCAGTGTGCAAACAGAATTGCAGCAGTGTCTGTCAAGGGGGACCCGGTGGGTGTCTGCTTCAGAGGATGCTGCGGAAAGGTGTGCACAAAGGGCAAGGGACTCTACCGGGCAACGGAATTTCAGGAAGGCCCACTGGAATCCACTCTTGTTTTTAGCCTAGCCTGGGTGCTTTGCTAGGAAGACTCATCCCCTGTGCGGGAACCCTGGAAACATCCCACCTATGTAACAACAGCAGGGGTCTATTCAGCTTCTCCAGATAACTGCTTCCAACACCTGGCTCTCCTCCCTCCCAGTGCTAGCTTGATTCTGTGCTCCAGACATTGCGGACCATTAATGGGTGTAAGGGTGGGTTGCCAACCTCAGACTCAACTGGGTAGGAGAATCCTCAGGAGCTCCAGAATTTGGCTAGGATTCTCCAAAGATCAAGCAAAGGTCTGTGTACAAATCCATGTCACTGTGAGGGAAGCAGCTGAGGGGTGCACTGCAGTGAGGTGGGAGGAAATGACTGGGTGGGATAACTTTGGGGAGAAGAGTAGGCCAGGCTGGCACTGAGGGCAGCCTGGGAAGCTCAGGTATGAGTTAAAAAATAAGAAAGAACTTCCAGATATGGGGTCGTCAAGAAAATACTTGAAAAGGAACCTGGAGCCTGCGTATTAGGGTACAGTAAAGAGGAGGAGCTCCAGCCATGCATTTCAGGAATGGAGGAACTGCTCTGCCATCTTCGAGTTGGGATGGAAGAGGTCTTATAATCATACTACTCAAACACTACTCGGTCTCATAGGACTGAACAACGAAACTGATGCCTTAGAGTCCCAAGCCCAGGGGGAAAACCTCACAGTCCCATGTCCAAGTTTTTAAGGTAACAAAATTACACATTTCTGGATTACAGTTCACAGAACACTTAGGAGGTAAGCCACAGCTCTCTCCGACCTATGGTAAACAGGAGATTCTAGAGCCTAGAACAAGGGCTGTGCCTTTACACTCCTCGAAAACATCCTGGATTTCTGACAGGTGTGTGATTCAAATGCACGTGAGTGATAAACATTTCTGCTTCAGTATGCAAAAGCCAGCTTACTCTGCTCTACTAGGGATTTGCTCTGACTTCTGGGCTCTCTCAGTGCATTTGGGAAGCCTGGAGACCCTGACAGACAGCTCTGCATCCTTTCAACACAGCTCTGCCACACTTAGGAGCAACAGGCTGCATCTCCCCACCCGCCACCACAGGTATTTAGCTTGCTTGCTGATAAGTCCAAGGGAATGCAAGTCCACTAGACTTGGTGGTTATTTTCAAACATTTATTCAGCACTGGCCTATCCAATAAATGGGTTTCGGTGATGCATGAAATGAAATTTGACACACAGTCCTGAAGGAGATATAGGCACACAAGGACTGAAAGCTGAAAGAGTTGTTGGCCCAGATGGAACACTAATCAGAAAAGGCTGCAGCTAAACTCCTCCCCTCCTGCCCCCTATGGACTTGATTGTAACCCTATATCCCCATCCTTAAGAATCTGTGCGCCAATGAGATACCTGTGCATCTCTAATGGCCTTAGGGTGCTGCCCTAAGCTTAGGCTATTTAGATTCCCCCACGCCTCGTGTCCGAGAGAGTTCGCCAGAGAGAGAGTTCGCCCGAGAGAGACCGCCAGATTCCAGCGGCCAGCACCGGCCAGCGCGCCAGTCTCCACTCCCCGTGTTCCCGGAGACACCACCGGCCCCGGGTGCAGAGATGCTGCGCCCCGGGGCCGGCGGCGGGGGGCCCCCTCCCCGCATTCCCGGAATAAAGTCACCGCTGCCCACTACTTTCACAGCCGTCCACTCCGCTCCATTCCTCCCACGGACTTCCTCCTCTCCCTTCTCTCAGACCTAACAAAGCAAGCGGGAAGGTGAGGTAGTTAGGCTCAGGTATGAATGAGGCCACGGCAGTGCAAGGAAGTCACAGGAACACAGGGAAGAAGCGGCTTTGGAGCAGGTACAGAAAGGAACCCTGAGAGCCCGCATTTCCGAACTGCAAAGGCTCCGTCTCTCTACCTCAAGTTCAAGACTGGAGTACTAGAACCGGGCTTCAACCCCCACAGAGTGCTGTTTTCCCTCTCTCAACCCCAGCTGTGATTCAGAAAGTGTAAACAGGGTCATCCCTCCAAGGAGATGGCACCTACTCGCAAGCCCTGCAGCACAGGCTAGGAGAGCACTGCCAGCACTGCTGCTGAAGGGCAGGCCTCTCTGCAGACATATGGTTCCCAGTAGGCCCCCTAGCACACAGCTCCCCTGCCAGGGACAAGCAGCAGAAGCCAAACGCACCCACAGGTTCAGCTTCTCAGCCAGATCCCACAGTGATATGGTGCCCCCAACCCAGCCAGCTTCGGAGCACCCAACCCTGCGTCTTGCTACATACCTGAGCACACTATTTTTGTTCACTAAAAGGGTGGCAGAAAGAGCTCTATTGAAGAAACAGAGCCATGTGACTCCCCCTGGGGTTTGGCTGACAGAGGCAAGGAGACTATTAGTGCTGAATTTCCTTAGTGTCAGCCTAAGCTCATTCACTGAACAGGCCTGTAGTACAGAGACTGGCTTGTCTGCAGCTGCTAAGGCTGAGGTTTAGAGAAGTCCACTCAGTACCTTCCTCTCCTGGTACAGCCACCAGGACCTGCCCCCATGCCATGGTCAGCAGGAACTGGCCTTGCAGCCTTCCTGGTGTCATTACCTGCCTCACTGTTGGTTCACAAGTGTGTCTGTAGAGCTCAGGGATACAGGCCGCAAGGCCTCAAACGACATTTAAACCACCAACTTGTGAAGTCATGGACCAAACACAGTAAAAGTGTGTCTGCCCTAGGAAATTTACCATACTCCAGATGTCCCTTTTCTTTCTCCTCTTCTGCCCCTCTTCCATTAAGGAAAGGACCAGTCTCTCTGAGAGACCAGAGGGGGGCTGTTTACAGAGGAGTGAACCCCACAGCAGAACTCAGTTCCCATCAGGGACTGGCTGATCTTCCTTCTCCTGCAGAAGGTGAAGCAGGGAGACAAATACCAGCTGTGAAGGATCATGAACTTTCCCGGGGTGGAAACCACCAGCTTGGCCTGGGAAGCCCAGCTTGCCTCCCTCACCAAGCCTCACTTTCCTCATCTCTAAAATGGCGTGGGGGTGCTCTTGGTGGTGTCCAGAGGTTCTAACACAAACAGCTGACTTCTGAGTGAGAACATTTTTGATTGTTCACCAAGCCGTCCCCTCCACAACCACCCATCTCACCCATTCTGTTGCCCACCTGGACTGTCTCCTCCTTACACAGGGCCCTCCTCAACCCCCATGGACTCTGTCCCAATGCTGGACCAGTCAGACCTGGGAACAGGCACTCACCGTTGCAGTGTCCACACCCCAGCCTCTGCCAGCAATGAGGCTGGCTCGGGTATGCAGGCAGGATGGGTGCAGGAAGCAGGGAAGCTGGGGGCGGGGCTCTGGGGCCTTGCCTAGGCCTCTAAACTCCATCAATCCATAGGCAGGACCAGGCCACACGCAAACCCTGGGGCCCTTTCAGCTTTCAACAGTTAATCTCCAGAAAACATCAAAATGGAGAGACGCCAAGGCCCCTAGCCTTCAAACAATTGAGCAAGGCTTTGAGTCATCTGCAGTCATGCAGATTATAACATTTCCCGAGCGCCAACAGACCCACCCTGCCACTGGGTACAGACCAACGGAGCGACGTGCTCCCGCTCTGAATCACAGGACAGCATCGAAGGGCCTGGCCCACCTCCATGCACCTCCTGCCACCTGCTCCCTCACCCACCCTCCTCCTTAACGCTCCAGTTCCAGTCTTTTTCTTCTCACCACTTAAGTGTTCTCTCTCTGCTCCTCTCCACTCCTTCCTGGCTGGAAGTAGCTGCTCCCAGCACATCACCACCATCTCTGTATTGACCTGAGGTCCCCATTCCTATTTCTGGCTTAGTTTCCTTTTGGGGTTTTGTGTGTCTCTGTTGTACCAAGTCCAAAACTGGTGGCCATACCATTCAATTTTTTTTTTTTTTTAGGTTCCCTATCTCAGAAAATAGCACAAGCACCCAGCCAACTGTTCAAGTCAGAAATCCTTCCTTTGCCCTCTCTACCTACATTGTCCATTTTTAAAATGTGCGACCCAACCTCCTCTGCCTCTCTGTGACTCTCCAAGCCCTGGCCAGTTACTATATTTTATAGCCCACTTCAATAACCACAGGATGGGTTTGGTCGTCCACAGTTCATGCCTCATGTGGTAGCTAGAGCGACCTGATTACACCCTTCCCTTGGTTTTCGGCTCCTACTTGCACTGAACTCAGCTTAACTTTAGCAGACCACCTAGTCTTAGCTCCCACCACCACAGCACCCTACAGCCCTCAGCCTCGAGGCTGCCTACTCCTCGGGTAAACCCAGCACAAACACACCCTGTTCTCTAAACCCCTTCCTGAGAGTGTTGCCAAGTGCCTGCTCCCTTGCCTCTGACTGTAGTGCACACACACACACCGCTACACTCTGCACAAATGGACTTCATGTACTTGTGTTTTAGTTACACATCTGTCTTTACAATTCCAGCAGCATGATCTGAGGACATGGGTTGTCTTAGCTCATCCTGCATCTCCAAGACTTAACACCAATCCTGGTAATTACAAACGTAAGTGTCTAATAACAAGGATACCTGAATTTTACTCATTAAACTCCACAAGGCAGTTGTGATTAACTTATAACCAGTGCATTGCAGCTCAGTGTGGAAGGTAGTTGTGGACAAAGCTGGCGTGACATTAAAGAAAACCTTGAGATTTAAACCTAGTCCTGGCTGTTAGAAAGGTCTGCCTGGCATGAGCTATGAAGACATTGTGGGTTGGGGTCTATCTGTAAAGACACAAGGAGCAACTAGAAATTGAGGATGTCCCAACAAGTCTGATATCTAGACTCCATCCCATGACCCCAGGTACAGAGACTGGAAGCACCCCCAAACACCATAGGGTACTGGCCAACATTACTCTCTTGGTGGCTGTGCACACTCATCTCCTTTCCCTGACCTAAATCCTGTCTGCTCAAGAAGTTGCCTCTGGATAGGAACTGCTGAAGTCTTACTAAAATAAAGCATCAGCACTAACTGGGTTAATTCATGTTCAAAACAAGTACAGGCAGTACTGCACTCTAACAGGGATACACCTGCCCAGCCCAGCCCAGCCCCACCCAGGGAATCCTTCCACCTCAAATGAGTTGGAAGACACAGACATAAAGAGTGTGTGTACCTGGGGTTCCCTGCCTCAGGCCCTCAGTGAGGGAGGCTGGAAGGCTGCTTCATTCTCTTTTTCTTGGCTCCCCTTTTCTTCCCTGGAAGTTCTAATCTGGCTCTTCTTTTACTGTGTGTATGAGATAACTAAGGCCCAGAGAGGGGGCAGGCTAACACAGTCACAGAAGTGGGACAGGGTGTCTGTTGGCAGTTGTGCTGGGATTCGAGCCCCCTAGCTTTCAGCCCACGCCTTTTTTTATCTTGACCTCAACACTCCAGGTCCCAAGCAGCCAGCTATGACCATGGCCTCTGCAGCTAGAAGTGTGGAGTTTGGACTCAAGACAAGGGTCTCTGAAACCTGAATCCCGAAACCTGATCATCAGCATCAACCATGCTAACAGCTGACACAGGCCTCAAAAGGGGTCTGGGAAATCTGGTTGAGATATCACCAATCTATCCCGGACCTAACACTTGACAAGGTGCTTACAAACAAATGCCAAATACTTTGTTAAGGGTCACACTGCCATTCTCAGGTGAGAGGCTGATCTGCACTTCTGCTTACCCAGGGTAACAGGGCCCTGTCAATTCTAGATACTGAAGAGAAAGCCTGAAAATACCAGTGCAGAGTGAGATGATACTGGGCAACAGCAGATGTCCTCTCCCACCTACCTGTGCCCTCAAGGACCACATCGCCAGTCACTCGGTGCAAGGTCTCACCTACCTGCTGCACTCGCCAACTCTCAGCTCTGCCTGGTTCCACTTACGCCTCTGCTCAGATGCCAGATTCAGAAAGTCTGAAACAGATGCTCAAAGCAAAAGATGATACAATCAGCTACTGGGGAAACTGAGCCATGGGGTGGGGGCTGAGGCTGGGAGAGGTCCTTTCTTCTGAGAAGTGACTCTGAGGCTGCACAGTCCCCCAGGGATCCAGCCATTCTGTCCTCATGTGCAAGTCTGGGCTGGACACCTATCAAGTCATATAGGGGTGGACAGGAAGACAAAGCTGATATTAGGAAAGCCTGGATTCCAGAACCTGAATCCTCAGCTCACACTGTGACTCTACGCAGTCATCCCACCCTGTCCATCTCAGCATCTTTTAAAAAACAAGGCCTTCGAAAACGTGGTCATTTAAGCAAAACAATGTGAAATGCAGCAAGCACTAGCACTTTCCTCTTATTAGCAGTGCTCACTTTCTCTCCTGAGGGCAGGGCATCTGCAGCAGGTCCAACACTTGACCCACTGTTCTCACAGTGTCACTGCAGGTTGCCTCTAGGGGGACCCCTGGCTCATCTCTGCCCTGCTGTTTGTCAACCCATAACCTAGGACCTGTGCTCCTCCTGTGGCCGCCCAAACTGCCCTTTGCACTAGTGGCACCTGAGAAACAAAGGGCCCTGCTCAACTGAAACCTCCCTGCACCAGGGACCCAGGCTCTACGGTGATGCTGGGTCCCTCCCCAGCTGGGCTTGCAGTTCTTGACACAGGAACCTCGGCCAGGAAGCTGGAAGCCCCATGCTCCACTCCACTGCTGCAACAACACAACTGGCAGGACAGTGACCAAGCCTGTGGCTCGGGCCGCAGAGTCCAGTCTTAAATCTTCCCGGTAATACCCGAGCTGCGCACATCAGAAATGTTCTCTGCACCACGTTCAACAGCAATACACGATCTCAACTAAAGGATGTGTCCTCATAAACGAGGACAGAAAGGCCTGACCAAGAACAACATCTAATTCCTATAAGCTGTATGAACTTGGCCACTGTTGCTTCTGTAAAATGGGAATCATTTAAGAGACGAAAGAAGCGGCATAAATGTACAGGAGACGCTCTGTAACCTGCCTTACAAAACACACCAACAGATATGTCGGGTAATGCTTATTTCTCAGTTAATTAGTCCCAATTGTTCTTTACACTCAGGATGGAGGGTTTTCTGACGAAGGTGCACCATCCGCAGTCAGGGTTTGTGGTCTGAATCCCCGTTCTACCTCCAGGGCTCCTCCACCATTTAGGAGTATCTAAGTCTACACCAGCGGCTCCCACACGTTATTTCCAAAAAATCCTAATTGCTTTCATTAAGAAAATATAAATCACGCAGTGGGCTTGAAGTATGTAACTACGGAAAAATAAAGCTGAATGCGGTTGTGTGGCGAGCCGCGTGGGCAGGCCAGCCCCCAGGCCTTTCTATGCACTGCGCGGGGGCGCACGGCCCCCGGCTCCTCCCAAGTACCGGCAGCGATGGAGCAGGTGCCTCTGCAGCCGAGAGACCCCGTGCCCAGGCTGGGCCGACCACCCAACACGGCGCTGCCGCGCGCTGCCTCAGAGCCTGCGGGCGGGGACGACAGGTCCGGGAACCTGAGCCCCGCGCGGGATGTGCCACGGATCGCGGCGCGTGGGGCCGGCTGGGAGGGGCGCGCGGGCGGGGGTCCAAGAGACTTTTGAAGGCTGGGGTCGCACCAGGCCCTGCGTTCGACCCCCCGGCCCCACCAGGTCCTCACCTGCGCGCTGCAGTCCCGCTCGCACGCTTCCCCGCGTGGGCGGCCAGAGTCGAAGAGAAAAATCCCTGCCGCGGTCAGGGCCGCCGGCGCATGCGCAGCACCGCCGCACGCGCAGCACCGCCGCACGTGACCACCCCATCCCACGTGACTGCCCCGCCTCCGGCGGTCCCCGCAGAGTGGTTCCCACGGCGTTGCAGAGTTCTCTGAGCGCCTTCCCGAGGCGGATAGGCGGTTTCGGTGCTACCGGTGGCGCGGCGGGAGAGTGTGCGGGACTGGCGCGTCCCCGGAGCGCTCCTTCTAGCCTCGAGAGCAGGTGCAGGGGTGCCGTCGGGCAGAGCAGGAGTGTCCGCGTGCTGGGCTCCCGGCCGCCCGCACGCACCCCACCCGCCCCTCTGCGCCGCGGCCGCCCACACCGCGCCACCCCCTGTGCGCCCTGGCGCGCGTTGTCTTTTTCGCCCCTGTGCGTCCTGCCTGCCCCTGTGCACCCGGCTCCCGGAGCACAGCCTCGGGCAGTGTTGTCTAGCTCACTGACAGAGGGTTCAAGGGCCCCTGGGAATCATGGCGCTGGGCAGCAGGCCGGGAAGCAGTGCAGCAGCTCTGGCCTGGCAGAGTCCAAAGGCTTTGCGCTCCGCTCGCACCGCGTCTTCCCTGTAGCGCTCTCGAGGCGGTGGATCCGGTGCAAGTTAATCAGATCTTCAATCCCTTTGCTCCACGTCTAGTTCTCAAGAGGGTCGTTTGCCGTCATCCTTAACTAGTACTTGGGAAGTGCTGTGTGAAACAGGGCCTGGGGTAAATTCAGCCGGAGTGCTAAAGCAGTTTTCTTTCAAGAGCAGGGATTTGATTTGAAGGTCGAAAAGAATATAATTTGTGCATTGTGGCTGTAATCATGAAAAGACAATTTACCTATTCCTAGGGGACCTTCCTTATTCCTGCTTTATCTCTCCCTACTTGCGAAGAGGAGCTAGAGAAGGCTTTCTCCCTTCATCCTAAAACAGAAAGTTTGGTTAAAGAGAAAGGTTTGCTGGGAGGAAAACAAGAAGCTATCTTCTTGGGACATACTTACCCAGAAACTGTTAGTGGCAGTGCTATTCTGGGTTTGGGACTGGCAGAATCATGGATGGGAGATGCCCAGAGAATTCAGCTGAGCTATATATTCTTCCTAACCAAATGCACAACGCTGTGATACAAGTTACACTTCTGGGACTTCCCAAAGCTGCAGAGTTTAGAAATCAAGCTGGATCTGGTAGGTAATACGCTTCTCATACTCTTGCTTTGTTTTTGTACAGGAAGGCATGAGCCAAATTTTTTCAAGTGCTACCAGCCCAGAAGAATAAGTTATAATCAAGCAGGCATAGAGAAACTACATTACTAAGCTCAAAGATGAATTGAACAAAACATGCAAAACGCAAAAGGATGACAAAAAATCCCAAAACATCCCTACAATCTACCAACATTTAAAGAAAAAAATCTAGTGTTGTGCAGCTCATAGAATATCTTTAGATTTTGAATTCAAGTGGTTGACAAGAAGTTTTGTGACAATTTAAACGGATGTATTACCATCTTGACGGGCTGGAACATTTTTTAGTCGCTCACAAATTCCAAAGAACAGATAGAAAACACTATTAGCAAAAATTAGACCCAGGTAAAGACTTGTGATTTGTTTTTATTTTTTATTTATTTATTTTTAAAATTAAGACTTGTGATTCTTTCAGCATCCAGCACCTTTTGATTCAACTGGCTTCATATATTTACTCAGCAGTGACTCAGGCCAGCAGCATGACACCGAGTTTAAACTGATGGCCCTGTAAAGTCTGCACTAACCTAAATCAGGAACAGTTTAGGAAGCAGCTAGCATTGAGATGAAAATAAACCAAGAATTGGTGCTTGACTCTATTGTCTTGAGCCCTGATTCCCAATTCTGTGGATGCATAAAAGTCTAGTCATGGTCAAGAAATGTTTATGACTCTAAATAAATGTGCCCAGATCGGTTCCAAATGCCTTTCCTACTTTCCAATTTCTCTTAAATCTTGAAGCCTCTGTAGTGTGCCTCATAGCATTGCCTGTAGGACTCCCCAGAGCTGACCATGGTGGGTACTAGTGGCTTAGCAAGTGAGCAGATGGCCAGGGGCTCCACAAGGGGTTCACTCTGTTCCCAGCTAGGAAAGTGGTGCTGCTTAAGTGTCCTCATACACTACCATTTGCACTGTCAGCTAACCTGCACTAAGACTTCATTACATTAAGAAGGATTGGTTGACAAGGAAGAAAAATAATTGCTTTGAAGTGATTCTGTAGTCACCAACTGTCCAGCTTCTTTCACTTCTCTGCTCTGTGATCCATGTGTTGGCTTCATGCTAAGGCTGGTTCACCTGTGGTCATAGGATGGCTCCCAGGATCTAGCATGGGAAAGTAAAGAGTTAGACTAAGGAGTGAACAAAGCCCAGGGTTTCACTCTTACTGGCCAAGCACTGGGGTTCAAGTATTGCTGCACTCTGATGGTCTAAGTCTGGATTAGTTCACATCTTGTATATTGCTATGCATACATTTAAAAAGAAAAATGGGGCTGGGTATAGTAATGCAGGCATCTTATCCTAGCATTCTGGGTGAGATCATGAAATTCGAGACTAGCCTGGGCAATTTAGTGACTTAGGAAGAAACTCTGACTCAAAATAAAAATTAATACTTTCAGGTAGTGGAAAAAATATAGACGTATATACCTTCATCACTCTGTTCTGATCAGATGCTATTTTGTTTTGTATGAATTCATTGTGTGTGAAGATATGGACAACTATTTAGAAGAAAATAAGAGACATTATAATAGTGATCTCCTGTTGTCTTGCTTAGAAATCTGTGCCATTTACATTGTTTTTTTCTGATCTGCTTTGTTCTGTTTTGTTATGTTTAGTTTTATCCTCTTTAAAATAAAATTTAAAAATGTAGACATGAAACAAAGATGTTAAGATAACTTAGATAACATCACGTTCAAAGCCCGCCACTTCTGTGGTAGTGGTGATGTGTCACATTACTTAACAGCCAAACCACCTAGCAGATTAATAGAGCTCTGGGTGTGTGTGTGGCCGATGGGCTTGTGAGCTCCAGGCAGAGGAAGGAAGATCACACTGGATGTGGGTGGCACCAGCCAGTATTAGTGTAGCCAGAATGAAAAGGGAAAGAAGAGGGAAATCTGCATTTTGCTTCTTCAGAGGAGTTCCAAGTTTTCCTCATTGCATTTAGACCTTTGTCTCTAGTTCTTTCTGTCTTTCAGTGTGACTCTTCAGCCTTGGAACACAGAACTGTCACCTTTCCAGCATGGTCTTACAGCAGAATCTTCACTGAGTGCCAGGCTTTTGACTTCAACTGGATCGTCTGATCTCCAGCACACAGGATACTGTTGTGTGTTCTTGCAGCACTGTTCTCCAGGTGACTATTGTAAGCCTATCTTGTACTTCACGTAGTTATAAGAACCCTAAGTGGTACAACTTCTTTATCTTTTTGGTCTCCGAGTCAGCAGTTTTTGGATTTTCACATGGTATTGTCATTTGGCCTTTAATTTATTGGTGATGTAGCATTGCTTAAATGGTGCTCTATCTATGTAGTTTTCTGTTCAAAGTTAGCAGGAAGTTTTTGGTAATTTCTCTATCTCAATGCTAGTCCTTCACACCACGTGAATTACTTTGAAACTGCTTTTATCCATTTTAAGAGATTTAGCAATGATTTTCCAGTGTACCACAATTCACAATTCACAATATACACAATTTGTGTATATTGTAATAGCAAAACATAATAGACTTCATGTGTGTGTAACTTGCTTCTTTCTGTGTCTCAGTTGTTGCTTTGGATGAAAGTAAGAAAGCAAAGTCATTTCTGATGACAAAGTTTGCTTTATTATCAAATTCTTGTTCTGTTGCTCCAATTCCACGAATCTATGCGTGTGTAATCTTTTTCATTTCAGTGCCAAATCAGAGTGTAACTTTTTACTTTTATATAGCAATTAAACTTAATGCATGCAGTGCAAACAATAAACCTTACTCAAAGAGTCAATAATTTGAGAAGCTGTGGTGTGACCTGAGTCATTGCTTTGACTGAGGTCATTCTGTCTAGGACAAAAAGACTGGGACAAGGTGTAGAAGAAAAGGCAGCACCTACTGAGGTGTTCAATGAAGGGAGGCATTGAATTTGCTTCTTCACAGCCCATGTGGATGACAAAGGAGGCCATATACTGCTTCTTTTTTTTTTAAACTACCAACTATTTTTATATACATACACATATGCATGCTTTTTCTTTCAGCTTGTCACACTAATGAAACAATATGATGTTTACACATTGTCTTATTTCAATAATAAGTATGTTCTCAAGGCGCAGCCATTTGCCTGTAAAAGTGTTCAGTTTATCATTCTTTATGGCCAAGTAGTATTCCACTGTATAGAAATAATGCATCTTTTTTATCCATTCTTCAGCCGATGGGCATTTAGGTTGTTTCCAAGATTTGGATATTATAAACTGTGCAGCTATAAACATGGGTGCACATATATCACTGTGATATGATGTTTTTAATGATGATACTCTAGAAAGGGACTGGCTAGGTCAAATGGGACTTCTAATCCTAGATTTTTGAGGAATCTCTACAGTGATTTCCACAGTGGTCGCACCCGTCTGCACTCCCACAATCAGTGGAGAAGTACTCTGTTTTTCCCACAGTACCTCCAGCATTTGTTATTGGTTGATTTCTTTATAATAGCCATTCTTTCTGGGGTGAGATGGAATCTCAGTGTTGTTTTAATTTGCATCTCTTGAATGACCAGTACTATTGAACTTTTTTTTTGGTCTTTTTTTTTGTTTTTGTCGGTACCAGGGATCGAACTCACGACTGCCTGCTTGCAAGGCAGGTGCTTATGCCGCTGAGCTAAATCCCCAGCCCCTTGTTGAACATTTTTTCACATACATATTTGTTGTTTTTACTTCTTCATCTGAGAAGTATGTGTTCATCTCAGATGCCCATTTTTGGACTAGGTCTTTAAATCTGGGAGGGCTGATGTTTTTGAGTTCTTTATATGTTTTCGATAGTAATCCTTTATCCGAGGGACAGCTGGAAAACATTTTCTCTCACATTGTGAGTTGTCTCTTTAGTCTTTTGGTGGTTTCTCTTGCTGTGCAAAAGCTTCTTAGTAGAATGAGTTCCTATTTGTTGATTCTTTGTGATAAGTCCTGTGCAATCTGTTTTTTTTTCATAAAGTCTTTGTCTACACCAATGTTTTTAGGAGTTTTACCTACTCTGTCTTCCAGCAGATTCAATGTTTTTGTTCTAATATTAAGATATTTAATCCACTCTGATTTTAACTTAATATACGGTAAGAGATATAGGCCCAGTTTTAATCTTCAGCATGTGGAAAGCCAGTTTTTCCAGTACCAGTTGTTAAAGAGGGTGTCTTTTTTCCAGTGAATGTGTTTGGCACCTTTGTCAAAGATGAGGTGGCTTAGTGTGTCTATAGTTGTTTCTGCATCTTCTAATCTATTCCATTATCTTCAGGTGGTTTTTTTTTTTTTTTTGCCAGTACCACACTGTTTTTATCACAGTAGCTTTAGAGTATAATTTCAAGTCAGAGATGTGAGGCTCCCTGTCTTGTGTTTGTTGCCCAGGATCATCTTTGCTATTCTAGGTCTCTTCTGATTCCAGGTGAATCAGAAGATCAGTTGTTTTCTCTAATACTGTAAGACATGCTGTTGAATTTTGATTGGGATTGCATTGAATTTGTGTAACAGTTTTGGAAGTATGGCCATTTTCACTATATTGGTTCTTCCTTCCCAAGAGCATGGATATCTCTCCATTTTCATTATCCTCTTCAGTCTCCTTTTTTAGAGTCTAGCTTTCAATGTAGAGGTCTTTTATATCTTTGGTTAGATTAATTCCTAGGTACTTCATTTTCTTGGATGCTACTGTAAAAGGTATTATTTCCTTGATTTCTCTCTCAATGAGTTTATTATTTGTGTATAAGAACGTTACTGATTTTTGAGTGTTGACTTTGTAACCAGCTACATTTCTGAATTTGCTTATTAAATCTAGAAGTCTTTTGGTGGAATTTTTGGGGTCTTCTATATTGAGTATCATGTCATCTGCCAATGATGATAGTTTAACTTATTTTCCTTTCTTTATTCTTTTTCTTTCTTTCTCTTGTTTAATTGCTTTGGCTAAAGTTTCCAGGATTATGTTGAATAAAAGTGGAAACATTGGACATCTTTGTCTTCTTCCTGATTTTAGCGTAAAAACTTTCAGTTTTTGTCCATTTAGTATGATGTTGGTTATTGGTTAATCATATGGTTAATCACGGCTTTTATCAGATTGAGATGAGACCATCTATTCAAATTTTCTATAGGGTTTTTATCATGAATGGGTGCTGGACTTTGTCAAAAGTTTTTGCTGCATCTATTGAGATAATCATATGATTTTTATCTTCAGCTTTGTTAATATAATGTTTTACATTTATGGGTTTATGTATGTTGAACCATCCCTGCATCCCTGGGATGAATCCCATTTGATGATGGTGTACAATATTTTTGACAATTTTCTGCAATCTGTTTGCCAGTATCTTACTGAGAATTTTTGCATCAATGTTCATTAGGGAGATTGGCCCATAATTCTCTTTCTTAGTTGGTTCCTTCTCTGGTTTTGGAATTAGAGTACTGCTTGATTCCAGGGATGAATTTGCAAATATTGCCTCCCTTTCAGTTTCATTAAGGAGTTTGAGAAGTAGTGGTATTGGGTCTTTACTAAATTTATTGTAGAATTCAGCAGTGACTCCATCAGGCCCTGGGCTTTTCTTTGAGAGGTTTTTAATTATATCTTTAATTTCATTTATTGATATTGGGTTATTTAGCATTTTTATACCTTCTTGATTCAGTTTTGGTTTCATATATATGTAGGAATCTGTCCATTTCTTCTGTATTTTCCATCTTATTAGAATACAAGTTTTCAAAGTGGGTATAGATGATTTTCTGGATTTCTATAGGGTCTGTTGTGATTTCACTGTTTTCATTCCTAATTGCATGGATTTGAGTCTTTTCTTTTTAAAATAAGATTGGCCAAAGATTTATCAATTTTGTTTAATCTTTTAAAGAACCAACTCTTTAATTAATTGATTCTTTGTACTGTTTTTTTTTTTCAGTCTCCAGTGTGTTAATTTCTGTTGTGATCCTTATAGTTTCCACCCTTGTACAAGCTTTTGGTTTAACCTGTGCTTCTTTTTCTAGAAGTTTGGGGTTCAACATTTAGTTCTTTATATGAGATTGTTCTGTTTTCCCGATATGGGTATGTACTGATGTAAATTTCCCTCTTAAGACTTCTTTCATTGTGTCCCACAAGTTCCAGGAAGTTGTATGGTCTTTATCATTCAACTGTAAAAACTGTCTAATTTCTTCTTTAGTTTCATCTGTGATCCATTGATTGTTTAGTAGGATGCTATTTAATTCCCATGTGTTGATGAAGTTCTTGTGGTTACCTTTGGCATAGATTTCCAATTTCATGGCACTGTTGTCTGATAGTATGCATGGGATAATTTCAATTCATTTACACTTAAGCATGTTCTGTGAGCCAGTATATGGTCTGTTTTGGAGAATGTCGCATGTGCTGCTGAGAAGAATGTGTATTCTAATGTGGGGTAGAACACTTTTTAGACATCAATCAAGTCTATTTGTTCAAAAGTTTGGTTCAGTTCTAATATTTCATGGTTGATTTTTTTGTCTAGTTTATCAGTCTTTTTGTGGCAGTGGGGTATTGAGATCTCCCAGTACAATTGTATTAGTGCTTATTTGATTTTTCATCCATTAATATTTGTTTTATATAGTTGGTTACACTGATATTTCTTGCATATATATTTATAATTGTTATCTCTTCCTCTTGTATTTTTCTATTTACAAGAATGTAGTGACCTTCTTTATCTTTCTTAATCAGTCTTGGTTTGAAATTCACTTTGTCTGCAAAAAGAATAGCTACCCTTGCTTTTTTCTGGGTTCCTGTTGCATGGAGTATTGTTTTCAATCCTTTCACTTTCAGTCTATGAATTTCTTTTTGAATTAAATGTGTTTCTTGTATGAAACATATTTTTGGATCTTGCTTCTTGATCCATTCTTCTAGTCTGTGTCTTTTGATTGGTGAATTGAGACCATTAACATTGATGGTTATAACTAATATGTATTTACTTATCCATGTCATGTTATTTTCCTGTTGTTTGACTCCCATTTTTACCCTGTCTGTCTTGTTTGTCTTGGCTGGTAGCTTTGTTCTGTTGAAGTTCATGGAGTTGTAGTCTGTGTTATCTCTTTCTAGAATGTCCTTCAGGACATTTTGGAGTGCTGGTTAGGTGGTCATAAATTTCCTCTGTTGTTCTTTGTCTTGGAAATAACTTACTTCTCCATTGATTTTGAAAGATAGGTTTTTTTTTTGTTTCTTTTTTTTTTTTTATTTTTTATCGGTACTGGGGATCAAACTCATGACCGCCTGCTTGTAAGGCAGGTGCTTATGCCGCTGAGCTAAATCCCCAGCCCTGAAAGATAGTTTTGTGGAGTGTCTGGAGTGGAGGTTGTTTTCCTTTAGAGCTTGAAATACTTCAAGCTCTGCCTGACTTGAAGGTTTGTGTTAAGAAGTCAGCTGTAAAACTTTTATAGACAAGGAGATTATACAGATACCATTGTTCATTTTCTGATAGTTGGTTCTAAATACCCTGTAATACTGTCATTCTCTTGAATGGTTTTACATTGTCTTGATATGTTTGGTGCTACAGTATACGAAGTTATACTCAAAGATTTCAAGGAAAGAGACATTATGGTAACTACTTTTATATCAGGATATCTTGTGGTGAAACACTATTTTGCTTAAATGGTTATGTTTTAACCTGTGCTGTTTTGTTGTTATGCCCTCTTTTATCTCAATCTCCTTTTTTATTTACTTTTTAATTTTTATCTTTTTAATTAAGGGAAAAATAAAAAATAGCAGGATATATTATAGTAACCCACTTTGATTTCCTATTAACTTGATTTGAAACCCTGTATTGGCCTCACCATCTTGTTTTGACTGATTTTCCCCTATTCTGCTTTGCTTGATAGTACCAAGTTTGAAAGTGCTACAACTGTGAAGACAATAAGATTCATTATGACGCCCATTCTGGATGACTGTTATCTTTTTTTTAAAGTCCTGTAATGTCTCCAATGTTTTGGTTTTATTCTTTACTGTTTTGTTCAATTTTATTATAACTGATGATATAGGCAATTCTTTTTAAGATAACAAGAGGCAGTATTGTAACCATTGTTGATCACCTTGTATTTTGTTTTTACATTATCTATTATGTCCATCCTTTTGATTTGACTGACTTTGTTCTGTTATGTCACATTTGCTTTTACTCTCTTCAAAAAAAAGTAATAAGAACTGTGGGAGTAATAAAACCCAAAATGTGTAATTGTCATTTTACAAAAGAGAGGAAAAGAAAGTGCTCTAAAGGATATAACTGCATATATATTTAAGTGTATAAGATAGATAACCATATTACTGAGTTTTGTTGGATCATTGAACAAAACTGTTTGCAGTCTCACTGTTTGAAAGTCCACTTTCTATGCTTTAATTTTATAAGTTGAACAACTATTTCTAAGATAACAATATGTAACCTATTAACTAGTGATTTCCTACTGTTTATTTTTTCTGAAATTCTGTATAACTTGTACCCTTTTTCGTTTTTTTTTTCCTTTTTCTCCTGAAATAAAATTAAAAGAAAAAAAGAAGCCAGCTGTGATTTTGTGTTTACAGGTGATTTTTTTTTTTGCTAACAGCTTTTAAGGTTCTATTTTTGTGTTGAGTTTCTGAATCTTGACTATGATATGCCTGGCTGTAGATTTTTTTTTTTTATCATGGCTAATTGGAGTTTTATATGCCTCACTTATCTGCATGTTAGATTTTTTTCCCTCCCAGAAAAGTTTTCTGCTGTTGACTTCTGAGAACAGTTTTTTTTTTGTTTGTTTGTTTGTTTTTGTTTTTTTGTCTTTTTCATTTTTATCGGTACCGGGGATCGAACTCATGACCGCCTGCTTGCAAGGCAGGTGCTTATGCTGGGGAAATGTGAAAACAGGAAGGGAAAAGAAATGAAAGAACAGAACAGCTGCCACAAAGAGGCTAGAAACCACATTCATACTCATTAAAATAAGATCAAACAATGAAGGTGAAAAGAAACACCAGAAGTCCACTTCCAGGTTTGTCTCCGCTATCACTGGTGGACAATGTGTAGAGACAGAGTCTAGATCTGTGGATTTATGCCAGTAAGCCAGCAATAGCTTTTTGGTGAAGTACTGGATAATTGTGGGGATTATTTCCCCTGGATTTCGGCCTGTATTCTAGCCATGGAGGCCAAGACCATACTCAGCCTGCAGCTATCAGTGCCTTCTCTGCGGGCTTGAACTCTACTGGGAGCTGCCAGATGACCCCAGCAGGTGGGAGTTCTGAACTCACTGAGCTTCTTTCCAAGATGCCTCCTTGCCAATGGCTGTCTCCCACAGGCTGACAGAACCCTCAGCACAAACCCTAACTGGTGCAGTCCTCCACATCTGCCATTCCTGTCCACTGCTGCATCTCTCTCTGGAGACTTCCAGAGCCACTAGCAGTCACTGCTCCTCCCACACAGTGAGTCCCAACTCAGGGAGAAGGCTCTGCTAGCTACCTCCTCCTCCTTCATTGAAGTTTTTTCACTTTCCAGGTGGCCTTCAGTTCTCACTTCACATCCTTCCTGGGTCCAGGAGACCCACTTCCCTCCTCCTTGTCTTCCTCACACTGCGTATTCCTGTGTCTGGTTGGCAGCTCTTCTTAGCTGCTTACCATTCTGCCATCTTCCTAGAAGTCATCTCTGTTCCTCTGATGTGGGAATTCATGGCTATAAAATTCCCTCTTCGGACTACTTTCATTGTGTCTGATAGGTTCTGGTATGTTGTACTGGTTTTATTATTTGATTCTAGGTACTTTCCAATTTCTTCTTTGACTCATTGATTTTTCTGGTATGTATTATTTAATCCCCCAGTTTCTGTGTCTCTCTGTGTGCTCTAAGTAATGATTTTTTCAAAGTAAAACCCTATGCTGTTTCTGCAGCTTACAATAGCTATAGGCTTTTCTTGCAGCTAGTACTGCTGTGGCTAGTGGTCCATTTTTTCTCCTTTGGAGATTCTGGCCCTCTCTGGGCTTACCTTGTGTTAGAAAAGCTAGGTCCTCCTCCCTGGCAAAAGGGTTAGCTCTGCAGACCACTTTTATCTTTTTGTGTATATTGTCCTCTATTTCTCTAACTGCTCTGTAGTTTCTGGTTTTTCTGTCTGTTCAATCTTAATTACTTGAGATGTACTCTTTTTCCCCCACCAAGTTCTTGTTTTCATGTGTCTCGATTCAGGTCCCAAAGAGACTATATTTTGCTGTGAGTTTTATTCCACCACTATGGGGAGTAAAGGCCCAGAGGTCTGGTTGATGGCCCTGGCAGAGGAGAGGGTCTGAGAAGACTTGGACCTGAAATGTCCTTGGCAGGCTGAGTGAGTTGCCCTGCCCCGCTCCGGCCCTACCCCTAAGAACCCCTTTCATCCTTCCAGGGCCACCATCTAGGCTCTATCACCATCCAGGTCTTAGCCCAGCCTATATAAAAGGGCAAGGGACACATTAAGCCATTGGTGCCATCAGCCTGGTCTCCGGTGTGATTTATTCCCACCATGACTGTGCACCACTTCCCATGGGCCCAGGTCCATGCAGTGACACACCACTTTAATCCTACCTAGCATATGTTATCAACAAGCTGAGAATGATAAAGCAGAAGGACGTGTGAAGTTTTACTTCATGAACAATATTGTCAAAATGTTGCTCTAATTTTAGACAGTCTGCTTGTAAGCTTTTTGTTATGTGACTAGTTCATTGCTTGTACTAGCATTAGTCAAATTTTTATTACTTATGTTGAAAGTGACTTAACTAATAAAGAGAATTTAAATTTTGTAAAGAAACATACAGTGTTTAAGTTTTCCATGTTGTCACTCTATCTGTCTTTCCCAGTGTATTCTTCACTGACTACCTAATTGCTGCTAGAACCCTGAAGCTACTCAGTGCTTTAGTGCACATGGTTCTGTCGCTCCAGAAACCCTGCAGCAACCCAAGGACAAATCGGGCCCTGGCATCACGTCTGATGAACCGATCCCCTCTCTTCTGTCAGTTGTAGAAATCTCAACACCCTTATAAGTGTCTTCTTGCCTGCAGTTATGGGTTTGTTTCCCCTTCCCTGTGCCTTCAGTTGGGAACACAAGACTTTCACTCCTTATTTTCTGTTCTCAAAAGCTTCTATTTTGGCCCTTTGAATATCCTGGTTGTTGAATAGGAAGAGCTGACATCAGCCATCTATGTCGGTCTGTCTGTCTTTTTCTTCCTTCCTCCCTCTCTCTTAGCTCTGGTCCTGGTTATGTGTAGTATGTATTAGTGTATTACTCAGCTTTTCCATCTGGACACAATATCTAACACTCATGACTTAAAGGAGAGATTTAATTTTGCTCATGGTTTGGACAGTTTTGTCTGTGATCAAAAGGCTCAAAGGCAGGAGCATTAGGGGAAAAGGGTGTGGCAAAGTAAAAGTCCTCAGTCTATGGTGGTTGGAAGGGGTGGGAGACCAGACACAGACCCCAAAGCCACTGCTCCATAACCGCCCAGAAGTGTGCTCCAGAGCACACCCAGAAGTGTGCTCCAGAAGTCTTCTGGGTGGATCTCCAAAATCACTTATCGTGGCACTCTGCCTTAAAGACCAGAATTAGTCTCTGTATCCTCTGATAAGCTTCACGCATAGGAACCATCTAGAAAGAAACATTGCACTGGGGAAAAGGACAAAATGAAAGATTGTTCCTTTGCAATTTATAGACCGGTGGGTAATTAGCATTTTCAAAAACAAAGTAACTAAAAAATAAAATAGCTACCATATTAAAAAATAAAAATGTCTTCATCTTCTGTATCTTGGGCATCTCTGCTTTGAGTGTCCTCTACAGTTCATCCTAGCTCTGTCTCTCACTTTATTATTATCAAAAAAATTATCTTGCTCTTTCATTGAGGCTGGAGAGATACCTGGAGTTCCCAGACAGAAGCTTGTGTAGCAAGACTCACTGATCTGTTCACCAGAGGGGTTCCCAAGAGCCTCTGTTTCATTCTAAAATGTTTTCAGGAAGGAGCTTCCGACAGAGAGTCTGTTTGCCTAATATGGTCCAAATGTTTGTTGCCTTTTCCAGTGTCCTGTTCAAAAGATGTGTGTCCCTGGCAGAAGAGGCTGAGCTGGGAGAATGAAAGGCATTGTCTCCCAAACTATGGAGAAGCACACTCCGGAAAACTGTGTGGCCAGCAGCCAGTCCTTCTACGAATGGCTGGGAGCTCTTTTCCTCTAGGCACCTTGCTGCATGTTCTTGTGCTCGAGTCTTAAATCTTTAATCACCAGCAGTATTCCTTCATCAGACACTATCAGGACACCCAAGGAGCTTGTTGGAGCCATGGATGGTATATTCACATTTCAGGGATGTCACAGCCTCTTGGCTTGGTGACCAGAGCTAAGGCTCCTAGAAAGCTGCTGAGAGGCAGACATTCACCAAGCTCATTCAAACCCCCACACAGGAGACCTCAGCTCTAGGCTTCTGCCTGGCAGGGTCTGCTCTTTGGTGATGCAGAGTCCCTGGGCCCCTGATAGCATGAAAAGAGTCCTCGTGCAGCCTGCAAGGTAATGCTTTATTACCACCTTCAGCTATAGACACTCAGGCCCACAGTGAGAGCTGAGATTTCTCTCTAGTTGGGAGCCACAGGTACCCAGGATGGCCATAATGGGAACAGATCCAGCAAGGGCTCTAAGTGGGGATTCTCAGGAGTGCCATGGACCAGCTGATCTGTGCCTGCTGTTACCCTGCCACACACCACATGCACACATGCTGCTCCCCTAGTGGACTTTGCTCTTCACATGCTGCTCTGCCTGTGAGAGGCTCCATCCTGCAGAGCCCAGGTGAACTGTCCACTGTGTGACACTCACACCGGATCTGACTGTTCCCTTCTGATGCTCCCAGTTAGCATCTCTGTCCCTTACCCGACCCACCCACCCCTATGCATAAAGCCATCTAAATGTCAGTTTCAGTTTGGCCACTCCTTGAGAGGCTTGGAGATGGTTGTGGTATTTTTATTTTTTATTTTTTTATTTTTTATTTTTTTAAAGCCAGTCAAATTTAGCAGTGGGGGGGGGGGTGGTATACCAACTTTAGTGACACTAATGTTAATAAGTTCTGATAACCCACTGCCATCGGACCAGCCGGTTGTGGTATTTTTAATGGAGTATAGAGTAATAAAACATGCAGCTGAGTCCTGAAGGGCCAAACCAGGCTTCCAGGTGTTCACATGTTCAAGTTCATAGCGGTGTTATTCAGTAACAGCAGTGGAGTAGAAGCAACTCAAGTGTCCATCAACACATGAATGGACAGAATATGCAATAGACCTTACCAGTTAGCTAGCAAGCATTTAGGTTGTGAGAATGAATCCAAGAAGTTTCGGTGGGCCAACCCAAGTTTCTGTCACAGTTTTCCCTAAAGAGGATTCTGTGATTAGTGATTAATTCTTTCTTCACCTCAACCAGCAGGCTCAAATATTAATTACCTAACTGTCCCCACCAGTCCACTGAGTCATTATGCCAGAGAGGCAAATTCCACTGTGTGTGCTCATACACACGCATGCATGCATACACACACGCATGGAAAAAGGAAATGTTGACTCACGCTACAACATGGATGAACCATAAGGATATTAAGTGAAATAAGCCAGTCATAAAAAGATAAATACTTACAGAATTTCATTTATACAAAGTACTTTTGGTAGTCAAATGCAGAGACAGAAAGCAAAAGGTGACTACGGTTGGGAACCAGGGATATAAAGAGTTAATGAGTAAAAAACAACTTTCAATTTTGCCAGATGAACAAGTTCTGGAAATCTGTTGCACAGCAGTGTATACTTAAATATGGTTAAGATGGCAGACTTTATGTTCTGTTTTTAAACCATGATAGTAAAACTTAGGCAAACAAAACTCCGAATGGTCTTTGGGCTCACCCAGTCCGTCCTGTTATTTTACTGAAATTGGTATCATCCTCAATTTAGTAAAGGTGACCGGATGGATGCCACATGCTCATCATGGCCCATGAGCTGCTGCTCCTCTGGCATCTCTGGTAAGCTTTCTGCTCCTCCATGAAAGAAAGGAGGAACGAAGGCCCAGGGTGTGCTGAACCAAGCCAGGCATGGGAAAGGTTCTCCAAAGCTCTGCTTCTCACTAGATCTCACCCTTCTTTCCTTCTCTCTCACAAGCTGCTGGGTTGCTCAGTTTTCCAGGGTGGAAGGACTCAGCCATGAAAGTTAAGTCAGGTAGCAGCTAGGTCCTAAGAGGGGAGGAGCCTGGAGTGTTGTGGGGGAGTGGTGTGGGCTGCATCACACACAGCACATTCCTGTTAGTGTCAATGGTGAGATTGGAGGATGCTGTCAGCCACTCTGGAAGACCCCATGGGGGCTCCTTAAAACAGGCATGTGGGACCTAGAAGCCCTAGCGCGGTGCCCTCATCACTCATGTCATTTTCCTGTCCTTGGTGTGAGGTTGCTCACTCAGAGCCTTAGACAGCCTTTGCTGCTGTCTCCTGCTGTCATGTGCTGAGTCCAGTTCTTTGTTAGTCACACACAAGAACTTGGAAACCAATTTCCAGACTACATAACTCACAGTAACACTGTCTCAGGTTGGTTGATTTTGGCTTGTATCTGTGTGCAACTTTCTGGTCAACTTGGAGAAAACTGCCACAAACTTGTAGGCCACCAGATGCTCTCAGTGCAGAGTGTGAGCAGCAGTAGAAGAATAGCTCTGCAAGGTATTCAAAGACCCTCTGGCCTAACCTTGATCTACTTTTCTAATCATATCTCATTAGAAGCTAAGGTTGCATAGTGGTTACATTTTGGCTTTGAGGATCAAGATTAAATTGCTCATTTAACAGGGCTTATCTAACTCTAAGGCTTCCCCTTGTACATCTGTGGTCCCTCAACCTGTCCTCTGCCCCTCTATCTCCTGCCTGTGTTAGGGCCAAGCTATTTCTTTTTCCCTACATCCACAGCCAAGACTTCTGCCTTGAACTCTCATTAAATTTGCCGTTCCTCTCTGCAAGCATAACTCCAATCCACCTAGTGTTATTATTTCTTAGTGTATGATTTGGTCCTCTGCTAGACTGGAAGTTCCTATAGGTCAGAGATTATGTCTTTTTTTTTTTATTTTGAAGAGAATAAAACCAAATGAGACGAAACCAAATAGAGTCAATCAAAACAAAAGGATGAACATGATACATGACTTAAAACACAAAGAGATCAATAATGGCTACCATAATGCCTCTTGTTATCTTCAAAAGAATTACCCATGTCATCAGGCATAATAAAATTGAACAAAACAGTACAGAACAAAACCAATAAAAACAAAACATTGCAGACATTATAGGACTTCAAAAGAAGATAATAGTCAAACCAGAATGCGTATGGTAGTATATCTTATTGTCTTCAAACTAGTTGCTTATTCCATGAGACTTGATACTATCAAAACAGAATAGAATAAAAATCAAAACAAAACAGTAAAAGCAATATAGGGCTTCAAGTCAAACTAATAGGAAATCAAAAATGGTTACCATCCTGCTATCTTTGGAATAGCTGTCCATGTCATCAAATCTAATACAAATAGACAAACTAAAACAGAATAAAACTAAACAAAGCAATGAAAACAACCTGGGTTTCAAATCATGATAATAGATTAACAATGTCCACTCCCTTCCCTTTTTAAACAATTCCTCCCCTTTCACTTTCACAGGATGTATTGTACATTTTGGATCCCACTAAC